CACAAATTTCTTGCAACGATTAAGTAGATAAAACAAAGTAGCATTAGATTCAAAAATTTACTCGAGAACTTTCATTAGGAATCGAATATCAAACAAAGGTTCAAACCATGTTCATGTTTAAAAGTTGCATTGGTAATGTTAAGATCAAGTTTTTGTTGTTTTTTTCCAAACGAAAGAGCAAAAGAAGTAACTCAAAAAGTACTGGAATTGGTTGTTGGACTAAAATGGACATCCAGCATCCTTTTTATAATCTGCAGTTAGTTGGGTCGCCCATAAACAGTTCCATAGTTCTAAGGGCGAAGCAGTTCTTAGGATCTGTGAAGGCTCAGTCCTGTTGCATTCTAAATGAGAAAATAGTAATTAATTTAGTCAGAAATGTGGAATAGATAAATAACCAAGTTACATGTTTTTTTTAGCAAAGAATTTATGCACTTGTGATTTACCTGGGTGATCTTATCCGCAACGCAACCATGTAAACTTAATGTACCGGTCATCTGTGCGTTCAAGTAACGACAGATTTTGACATTTCATAATGTATTTTTAATTAAATAACTAGATTATATAGCTAATTTTGATCTTTTTTTATATTTTTATTCGCCACGTTCGACTGCGTTACACTGAACGTCCATTGCATACTGAGATGATATCTCAAGTCATAGTGAGTTTATTCACATAGTTGATTGTTTCCAGATAGACTGTCAGTGCATGATTTTACTGTAGAAAGGTTTATTGTACTATAAACTATGTTTTTATGAACAACTACCTGTTGTTTTAAGTCGGAAAGCAATATATATATTCTTTGACTTCTGTTCGGTAAGTTCAATTGGCCTACATTTCGTGTTTTTGTTTTATAGTCTTAATTATGTCCATTTAAATACTTTAAGCAATATGCCTGTGCAAATGAAACAATAACTATGACACTTGCTTAGTTTAGTATTCTTGGTTGTCGTATAATTCAGTTTAGTTGAAAGAATTATGGTATAGTGCTTGAAGTCTGTAACGAAACAGATCAGCCTAGTAAGTAGAGTTGCCTGTTTCTGATGAGTATACTGATTCAAATCAGTCTGATTAAAAATAGGAAAAAAGTGCTTTTGGTACTGTTGCTGTCATACATTATAAGATAGCGATAAGTATGTTTGGTGTTTATTTCTAGATTGTACATCTATCACTGACCATATTTCATGATCACTGTCATTAAACAATTTCCCCAGCAATAACATCGGTAGCAGGATAGCTAAGTGTCTGAGCTTTTATTTGCCCGTAGAAGAGCAGTATACTGTCTTAGAAGATGAGTGTTCTGTATTTCAATTAAATGCAGTTGGCTGTGGACAAATGTTAAGAATCTTTTTGACAACTAGGACTTTTAGTTCATCAAACACTAACTCTGCTTGTATGTCTCCCTGTTAAACTAGATGCAGATACATGGTAATACTTAAATGAGAGCAAAATAATAAAAGCATTGAGATACGGTATTAAGTCCATGTTATGCTTTGCACAATAAATAGCTGACCTGACCTAATATTCATGAACTAAAGGTAAATCACAACTGCATAAATTCTTTGCTAAAAAACATGTAATTTGATTATTTATCTATTCCACATTTCTGACTAAATTCATTACTGTTTTCCCATTTAGAATGCAACAGGACTGAGTCTTCACAGATGTTAAGAACTGTTTCGCCCTTAGAACTATGGCCCTATGGATCTGTTTACGGGAGACCCAACTAACAGCAGATTATAAAAAGGATGCTGGCTGTCCATTTTAATCTCACAACCACTTCCAGTACTTTTTGAGTTACTTCTTTTACCCTTTCGTTTGGAAAAAACAACAAAAACTGCAGCTTAACATTACAAATGCAACTTTTAGACTGGAACTTGGTTTAAACCTTTGTTTCATATTCGATTCTTAATGAAAGTTCTGGAATAAATTTTTGAACCTAATGCTACTTTGTTTTATCTACTTAATCGTTGCAAGAAACTTGTGATAATCGAGCCTCTCATCACCTAATTCATGTGTTCAGGCTTCCGTGTCTATTAGCAGGGGATCACCAAAACCTCCAAGCAGGAACCTAGGTATGTTAACAATAAAAGATCCAGTCGCCTCCCAAATGACTCCTGGGAAGTCGCTTGGACTAGTTCGGCGAGCAGCGAATTCCAGCATTCGACAACTCTTAAGGAGTAGAAGTTGCGTCTACAGTCCATTCTGCTATGTCGTGTCTCTAGTTTCTGGGACTAAGCTCAAATAGGTGTTTAAGAAAATGTCCAGAAGTGTTAAGGATCCTGTAAGTAAATAGGTCACCTCTAAGACGTCTATACTTTAATGAGTAGAGGTTAAGTGATTGGAGGCGCTCTTCATAAGGTGATTTGGTGCATATCTCCGTCACTTTCTTAGGAAACCTACAGGCTCGGGTCCTCTCACAACTTATTCTGGCCACCGTGAGTTGCCACGAAAACTGATGGATGGACACGCGTTACACATCCTAACCGTCCCTGCATCTAATCTCATAGCTTCTTATTCAAATGTCATATGATAAGCAAGTAATGCTTCTACCGACACTAATGGAACACGAGTAATTCAAAGGCACCCTGTATGGTACTTTACATTGGTCTACGCACTCACTTAGCTCTTTAGTGGGGATATTACTACAGTCCTGCTAAAAAACCAATGAACCCCCCTACCACCATCAAAACAATAAGTCTGTATTTGCTGCATATAGCAATTTTATTTTTCAGAAGATATAACAGTAAGAATTGGAGTAAAATAACAATATACAACAGATGCACGTGGTACATGTCTTCATCGATCATCTGAAATAGAGAATACGGATATTAGCTTAACATGCTTATTTAGAAAGACTAGTGTTTACTTTGAACTTACTGTGTGAGAAAGTTATACTGGAACTGTGAATAATGTAGGAATCTAGTCTCCCAGGGCGTACGAAGCACTCAAACTGTAAGACAGTTGTCACAAATTAATTCGAATATGAAGTTGAGAATTTGCAAGTACTTTTCATCGTAAAGGTGAACATATTAGATAACGGTTGACATCATACCGTAAAAATAACAAATTTGCGAGTGGTGAATTATGGTCTATAAAAAGGTGAGCTTAATAACAGTTAGTTACATTTTTAATCCCTGATCATGACCCTACGGCTTCCTTTTGTGGCCGAAACAGCAAACATACACTACACACTGATAGCAAATTTCCGGCTTTTCAATGTTAAGCTTGCTTTAACGCACTACGTAATGCGTACAATCCCTCCATTACTGCTATGTGGCATATTTTTTCATAACAAACCCTTTGCAATAGATTGGTAGCATCTGTGGTTGTCGGAAGCCTGGGTACTTTCGAAAACAATACTGACATCCCCTACTGCTAGGCACTAAGTATTAGTTTGACTCGTTGGTGGGATATTGTTGTCCGCAATACTGAAGAAAATTAAAAACCCGAAATTGTTCCCTTTCATTTTGCCGATAACATCATAAAGGACAGTTAGGAATGAACACGCGGACAGTTAGTCACAGGAGGCAGCAACAGTTATTTCAGCTAAGAAAAAACGAACTTCGGCTTTGGATATCTAGAAAACAAGTCAAAACAAAACCGATTTTTATTTTAAAACATAAGATTAACCAGCTTGACTGAAGAAATACATTGACTAGAGTAGAAGCAGCAAAAACCCAAAAAACAATGCTGATTCGAAGTAAATTTCACACCAACATGTAGAACATTACACTAACTGCGGCATCTTAGCACATTGAAACATTAATTACATAGCTACACAAAAGAAATAGCTAGAAGAAGCACAGAGCGAAGATAGCCGACCTCCATTACGTACAAAGATGGCTGATATAATAATTCCCGCCACATTCTGATTGGTTGCTAAGCTGAAGGGCACATTTACGAAATTGAGTTGCGTTTAATTGCAGCCGATTTACTTTCAGTTCATGAATATTTGATCAGGTCAGCTACTATTACTTGTGCAAAGCATAACATGGACGAAGTACCATACCTCAATGCTTTTATTATTTTGCTCTCATTTAAGTATTACCATGCATCTGCCTCTAGTTTAACATACAAGCGGAGTTAGTGTCTGATAAACTAAAAATCCCAGTTGTCAAAAAGATTCTTAACATTTGTCTATAGCCAGCTGCATTTGATTGAGACACAGAACACTCATCTTCTAAGACTGTATACTGCTCTTCTGCGGGCAAATAAAAGCTCACACACTTAGCTATCCTGCAACCGATGTTATTGCTGGGGAAACCGTTTAGTGACAGTGGTTTTGAAACATGAACAGTGTTAGACGTACTGTCTACAAATAAACACCAAACGTACTTAAAGCTATCTTATAATGTATGACAGCAACAGTACCAAAAGCATTTTTTTCCTATTTTTAATCAGACTGATTTGAATCAGTATACTCACTAAAAACAGGCAGCTCTACTCACTAAACTGATCCGTTTCGCTACAGTCTTTAAGCACTATACTTAAGTATACTATGATTCTATCGACTAATCTAAATTGTAACGGCAACCAAGGATAATGAACTAAGCAAGTGTCATAATTACTGTTCCATTTGTACATACATGTTGCTTAACGGAGTAAAATGAACATAATTTAGCCGATAAAACCAAAACACGAAATAAAGGCCATTTGAACTTACCTAACAGAAGACGAAGGATACATATATATTGCTTTCAGACTGAAGACAACAGTCAGTTGTTCATAAAAACATGGTCTACAGTATAACAATCATTTCTTCAGTAACATCATGAACTGATGGTCTATCTGGAAACAATAAACTATGTGATTGAGCTCACTATGCTTTGAGATATCATCCCAGCGTGCAATCGACGTGCAGTGTAACGCAGTCGGACGTAGCGTATAAAAATTAAAAAAAGAGCAAAATTAGTCACATAATCTAGTTACTTAATAAAAAATACATTAGTTTTCTTTGTTTTTTCGTTTCGCAGTGAAGGTCTCAAAACTGAGCTCTTTTTGTCCTTGATACTTTACGGCGTTAAAAAGGTAAATGCAAAACAGCAATCTAGTTGGCGTTATTTCGTTGAATAATCTGGTGCATATTATTATCCAGATTTTTACAATTTCATGGCCAGTGCTTCTGACTCATTCCTCTAAGGTTGTCAGCTATTCGAAAATCGGGATACAATGAGTTTTTTAGACTGAAATTATCTAAACAAAGGTTATTGGTCGTAGTTCTTCGAAAATTTCTATTTATCGCTGAAATGATCACCACGAACACGTGATTGCACTACTCAGGTAGCATGAAACACTCGAGGCTTCTTGAAACAAAGCATATACTTTGTTTATATATGCGTTAAAAAACTACTCGTTTGGTATCAGAATGAGTGACCTAACATTTCAGCTAACGTGGATTCTGTACAGTAGTTTGCTTTTCGCGAGACTTAACGTATCGCTAAAACTTACTTCCCTTGTACATAATCGATTTGTAGACTATCAACGTTGAAATGAAGTCAGTGTGCTAGGCGAAACAGATATACTTTTCAAACCCTGTTGCCGCTTAGTAAAATGTAAGTCATCGAAACCGTGGGAGATCAGAAATCCAAGGATTATTTGCATTCTCTAGCAATAGTTATATTTTGATTTAACCAATTGGTAGATTAGTCTGAGGGCGTCAGGTAATATGCGGGCACAAATGTCTGGTAAGAACCATAGAGATTGCTAAAAATTAGTGGCTTTAATAATTTAATCTTTAAAGCGTTTGAAATTTCATATTTTACAATGTAAGCTATTTTATTTGATCTCACTGGACGTTAGACGCATAACTTGTTGTAGTTTGTCTTAGTTCCTTCTTATGGTATAGAAATCGGTGATAAATGTAAGACCTTTAATTAACTTGATCCAGGTTTTCCGAGATCGTTTATGTACGTAGCATTCCTAAACACTACATTCTTTCACATGTTAAATGAATTGGTAGTTTCTGATACTGCAATCTTCAGTGACACCTACTTTCTCGATTCCTTTTAACATATTCGTTCTTTTTACCGGTTATGTCGTGATATGTTCAGAAGCTTATCAACTTAGACTGATGCAATATATAGGTTTTCTGTTGCTATAAACTTCAAAACAACGACAAACTATGATTTATGCAGTGGATTGTCAGTCAATATTTATGTCCTTAATCGAAATATTAAAATCTGAAGGGTTATGAAATAATGTGCTGGGAAAATTCAGTCATTGAAAAGTTCAAATGCTTTAATGACTAACCGTAAGGATTTCTGAAATGTTTCAGTCAGACTCATCGGAAGAAAAATCTAAGAAGGGAGCATATTGTTTTATCTACGATTAGATGTATTGATTGATGTAGAAAAAAAGCCCCCAAATGCCCTGGTACGGCCAATAGTGGGGAGAGTCCGCTCTCCCTCTCGAAATGCTCTGACATGGCCACGCGTATATAGCCTCTGCCAAGGAAGTCCTACTCACTGCCTTCTCGTGACGGGGGTGTTGTTTACGAAATCGAGAGGACTAAAAGCGAACGTCCGGCGCTTTAACCGGGTCAATGGACATGAAGAGTCCACCTGGAGGAGCCGGAAAACCCTGATTCCAAACCAATGGTGCACATGGACTCCAGGATCCTGAAGGAACAAATGGCGTATGAACCAATCGTTTGTCACCGGCTACCATGGGGCCGCACCTCGTGACGTTGCTCCACTGCCTTGTGGATCAGACCTTCAGGTCAAAGGCTCTGGTTGTGGCCCCCTAGGAAAATCGCCTGCTTCGGTTTGGGCACCCGGGCAGTATCACAGCCCTCAGATAAACCGAATGATTTATGTGGCGCATATGTATTTGGTGCCTCATTGTGCCAATATGTGTTAAAATAAATAAGTAACGATTATATTCCAGCGATCCCATTACAGTGGTTCGGTTACACTAAGTTATTTCGGTAGGTTTTCAAGAATGATTTTTGAGTGGGCAGCAATAATAATTTCACCTTATCCGTTTGGATCCTCAAAATTTTAACTGGGGTTTGTGTAATGACTCGAAGAAATAACAAAGGTCACGATGGGCTGAAGACGGTTTGGGTCTCCGACTAACTTATTTATAGTATTACTCTCATTGTGGCTATTGAGATGATGGCAGATAAAAGTTTAATCCGGAAATATAAGGCATTTGGCTCTCAGTCAGTCAGTCAGCTACAACGTAGAACCATGCACTTATGTGCATCGGTCCAGGTTGCCATACCGCATCAGCACAACAAGATGAACACCGGATTCATAACAGTGGTTAGGTAAAAGGTGGTAATATATAAGAGAAAGATTGCATATAGAGATATAGTACAAGAAGAAAGAATTGGTTAGTAGAAAGAAAGATATGAAGCGCTTTTAATCTCTTAGTTTAAGGGAAGACAGAAAGTGTATACACCGACGCCATTGTGATCGATTCTGAGCCATGTCACCAAGAGTCTCCAACCATTGGTTACGATAGTCACGCGGACCCCAACCAAGTAGTCTGCATCTACCAACATGGCTCAGACTAGAAGTTAGTGACTTCAAGCACTGATGCCACGTTTTGGTTTGGCCGCCCCTAACTTTCTTCCAACCATCTCCAACACCGGATAGCATTGCACGTCGTGGTAATCGGTGTTCAGGCATACGTAACACGTGGCCCAACCAACTCAGTCGATGAAGATTCATAACCTCATCAACTGATTTACCATCCTTTCCTAATACCCTGCGTCTAACCTCACTATTACTTACCCGATTATCCCAGCAGACGCCAGCAATATTTCTAAGGCATCTGTGGTCAAATACTAGCAGCTTGCGAGTGTCTTCTACTCTTAATGGCCATGTTTCGCTACCGTAAAGTAAAACAGAACGGACTGCCGCGCAGTATACTCGTCCTTTTATTGATAGACGGATATCTCGCCTTCGCCACAGGTGACGTAAGTTGGCAAAAGCCAAACGAGCTTTTCGAATCCGTGCTGAGATTTCGTCCGATACCAACCCATTAGGGCTGATCAGACTTCCAAGATAAGTGAAGTTGTCAACGCGTTCGACTACTTCACTCCCTATCCTTAGTTCAGGTGTTAACGCAGACCAGTCCTGAAGCAACAACTTGCATTTCGAGGGGCATTTGGCTCTTGTCATCTTATATCATCAGCAGTGTAATTAAATACTATTCCGGGTCCTGGCTTTGGTATCAGATTGTGTAAAGACTACTCATAATTGAAACAGTTTTAACCTGCGATAGAGCATCAAATACGAGTCTTTAGACTTCTTTTTCTTCTACCTAATTGCAAAATGCTACTTTGGGATTGATTTGTATCATGACTTACTGGTCTGTATTAGTAAAATAGTTGGTCTCGTTTACCACTTAAATTGTCGTCAGCGTTTCACCACTGCTAATTTATTGTTGGCTGATAAAATCTCAGGAAATTCAGAAAGTCCACTTGGCTTTTTCTAACACCACTCATGAAGTATGCAAGACGTCTATTTTCTGAGGTGATGCAGCAGTTCACTGTGTATTAATGTGGTCGTAAAAATGGCTTGTGAACTGGAAAACATGTATAAGCTGATGGAGTTTAACCTAGGTATTTTCGAAGCATTACCAACTTGTGAAACAAGTGAGTAAGCATTGTCAAGTCTAGAACTAGGGCACTAAACGAAGAAAATAAGTTGGTTAATGCGGTGATATATTTTCACCAATTGAGGTGTCTGGACGTGTGCTGCGTATGTCCAACCACTGTCTTCTATGGTCCGTGTTGGCTGAAGCTAGGGACGGTGAAGCCAAAACATGATATCAGTCCACAACGGTAGTGACTGTTCAATCAGGCGCTTATTGATATATGCAGAATATCAGGTTGGAGTTCGCCCTAGAACTGCTATCACTTGTTGGAGCCATCAAGATATGGCTCAGGATTGGTCACTGTCTTTAATTAATACACATTTTCTTCTCCTAGGTCTTCATATTCAATATTATTTCATGCTTTATGTTCCTTAAATTCGTTCCTTTTTTTTGAACCATATTATCTAATATTTAGCCTTCCTAAATTACATTGTGAGCACCATTCGACTTTCTTGCCACACATCTTGCTAATTTCATCTCTTACTGATATAATATGATATGGGTCGATACACATCTGTGGAAGGGTCCGTGTTGATTATGAATAATTGGTTTTGAACTAATGAAACAACTTCGTCTGAAAACTAATCAAAGCCATTCTTATATATAAAATTTTCTATAGCTTTAGCATTTAGTGTTAACGTTTGACCTGTAACTATGAGTCTTCATCAAACTAAAATTTTTTGGAGTTACTGAATTGATAAACACATATCTACAATTAGTCAGGGACAGTCACAACTTATTGCATTAAGGCTCTGCTTGCGTGTTGATTGATGAAGAGAGAAGAGGAAAGTTTAGGTCTTCAAACTTTAGATATGTCAGACAACAATAATCGATCCTGTTACATGTTGTAGAAACGTCATTTGTACAATACACGGTGTAGACAAAGAAAGTAGGTACGCTCTAGCATGCGTTGCTTTCCGTTGCCCCTTCCTGGATTCAGCAGTCTTGTCATTAAGACTGTCGTTATGTCTTGCAAACTGCAATATTTTCTATCTTCATGGTGATAGGCGCTCAAGATTCCACATTCTGACAGTGAAGAAGTCTTCAAAAAAACCTACCAAACTGTTTTAACACTTGCTATAAAAATTGGGGAATTAAAAATTCCTCATATGTAACCTGTTTACTTCTAATTAACATCCAGTATGGCTAGTTTCCTAGTATCTGCTATAGATCGCCAGCTATGTTTGTACGTCATTATTTTTAGTACCATTTAATCTAATTTCTAATCCTGCATTTTTCTTCAGTTGATAACTTGAGTGTCAGTATCTAGTCACAAGCTGCCAATCATATTCAATTTTTATCCTTATACTTGGTTTTTTGGACACGTAGATCTAGTTAGCTGTTTGTGCTAAAGTGACAGACAGTCCTGTTATTTTATTTAATGTTCATCTATTCAGATAAGGATAAAATTGGTTGCTTCATTTGCAGTACGTTACGTCACTCTTAATGTTAAATCCATGATTGAAGTACTTGTTACGTATGTATGAACACCGATTACCACGACACTCAATGCTGATTAGTGTTGGGAATGGTTGGAAGAAAGTTAGGGGCTGCCAAACCAAAACGTGGCATCAGTGTTTGAAGTCACTAACTTCTAGTCTAAACCATGTTGGGAGATCCAGACTACTTGGTTGGGGTTCACGTGACTATCGTAACCAATGGATGGGGACTCTTGATGACATGGCTCAGAATCGATCACAATGGCGTCGTTGTATACACTTTCTGTCTTCCCTTAAACTATGAGATTAAAATTATTTCATATCTTTCTACGAACTATTTCTTTCTGTACTATATTCTTACATAAAATCTTTCTTTTATATATTACACTATTGAGCTAACGGCTTTTATGAATCCGGTGTTCGTCTTGCTGTGCTAATGAGGTGTGGCAACTTGGATCGATGCATATATGTGCCTGGTCCTACGCTGTAACTAACTGACTGACTGATTGAAGTACTATATTTACACAAATTGCTTCATATAATAGACTCAACACGAAATCGTGAAAAGGGCCACTCTGAGTAAGGATGTGCACCCTCCAGTTTTCCTGATGACTATCATAATTGTCCAATTATGACGAGTTTTTCATTTTTAATCTCGAATATAATCTTTAGGGGTATTACTGATCTTCCTTTGTTGCTACCATGATTATATCAACGTTTTTGATGCTCAAATTATTGCTTCTTTCAATGTGTTATTTGTAGTAAATCTGAAAACTAGTATGGAAGAGGAAGATGATTGGAGACAGTGTGCTGAATGGTTAAATAGATGTCAAGTTATCCCGGATGATCATCCGGCTCTGGGGCCAGATGGTAATGCGATTCACTTGGTTCAGGCCCTGATGGACGGAGTTGCTTTATGCCATCTTTTAAGCACATTATCAAACCATGAATTGGATATAAGATCGATGAAAGATTTTAGCCATATGCCACAAAATTCACAGTTTTTATGCTTTCAAAATCTTCGACTATTTACACAGTTATGTGAAAAAGAATTTGATATTCCCAGAAATTTGCTATTTCAACCTGGTGATATTTATCATGCTAAAAATTTTGGAAAAGCGATTGCAACTTTATCAAAATTATCATACTCAAGAAGAGCACAGTTAACTGGAATACCGTATGTCTTTTATTTCTTCTGTCGTTTATTTCCAAACATAGTGGTTTTCCACCAGAAAATTCAAAGCTACAATCAACTCATGAATATTATAATAATCTTGAGGAAATCGCTGCTGCAATGTAGATAATAAAATTCTATCGTTATTGTTTTTTATTATTATAATACATCATTTTAGGAATAAATTACCTGACTCTGGAAAACCAAATTATACTCAAATGGAAGAGGAAAATAAAGAAAAACTGTACGATACAGTGGTGTATCAAGGTTCAAAATCTCGTCTAGTAATTTTTTATGTTTCCTTTTGTAACTGTTATTCCAAATTGTCAACATAGAATTTGGACTCTGAACCAACAACAGCACGAGCGTATTGTATTCGCGAAATAGTGGATACAGAAAAAAATTACGTAGATGTGTTGAAAATGTTAATTGAGGTAGAATAGAAAGTGGAATTATTTATTAATTAATATCGCAATTTAGAAATACAAGCATCCGCTTATTGGAGTTCTTTCGCACAACGAAATTGAAGAGATTTTCAAGTACATTGAGGTAATTATTATGTAGAAATTCGAAAATATTCAGTTCATTTGCTTTTACCAATATTTCAAAATAACGATACTAGCGTGCTAAGATGATATGGTTTTTTGGATAGTAATTTGAGGCACTGTTCTCTAGAACAATTAAGTGTCGTGAAAAGTAAACATTTTCAGTACATCTACTCTATTTTTAAGATGCATCGTTTACTCCGAAATGAGCGTATAGTTTTGGTAACATTAAATTAAAATGCTTACTCTGTGTCTTAGTATGACTTTTCTTACCCCCTGTCACTAACTCTTATGCTAGTCAGCAGAGTAAGTATGAGGCTATCATGGTTATGTATCCATTTCACTACCAACTTAAATTCTAGTCCCTAGGTCGTTTGTTACAGTGATAAATTAATACAAAGTAAATTGTTGGACAACATACCCATTCTTCGGTAGTACATCTCAACTTCACATGTGGCAGAGTTCGAAAAAGTTAAGTAGGACTTTTGTATCTGTGCCACAATTTTATTACTTTTTGTTATCCTATTAGTACTTAGATAAGGTTTTCAGAGTATTTTTCCCTTTTGATTGAAAGTCTCCTTACTTATCTTTGTCATTTGTTTCTGCATATACGTTAGTTTTGTTATTCCTTCATGTGTGAAATTGGCCCCCTTTTCCACCGATTTTCAGCAGAAATATAGCATACTAGAGATCGCATTGGCCAGATCTGAGTGTAGTTTTAGACATTGCTTTCTACGTATGTTACGAATAATAATCTTGATTCAAAAAAACATATACCTGTATAAAAGTTTCAGCGCTACAACTCGTCGCTTTTCAAGGATCTTGTTACTTCATCAACTCACTTTATTATTTCAAAATAAAAATTGAGAGAAAAACTGAGTCTCATTCTGATTTTAAATCGAATATCTTATGATTATTGATCCACTGCACTATATTCTTAACTATGAGGCTGAACTACTAAGCATGTTTCATTTAAACCTCCATCGCTCCATATGATCCGTAGTTGTTGCAAAAGAGTGAAACAAGCCATTTGGGGATTTGAATGCGCTAGCTACCTAGCCGTTTTTCCCCGTCGCAGGCAAAGCGGTTAGCTATGAACACTAAGTCAATCAGTCAGCTACAATGTAGGACGAGGCACATATATGCATCGATCCAAGTTGCCACACCTCATTAGCACAGCAAGACGAACACCGGATTCATAAAAGCCGTTAGCTCAATAGTGTAATATATAAAAGAAAGATTTTATGTAAGAATATAGTACAGAAAGAAATAGTTCGTAGAAAGATATGAAGTAATTTTAATCTCATAGTTTAAGGGAAGACAGAAAGTGTATACACCGACGCCATTGTGATCGATTCTGAGCCATGTCATCAAGAGTCTCCATCCATTGGTTACGATAGTCACGTGAACCCCAACCAAGTAGTCTGGATCTCCCAACATGGTTTAGACTAGAAGTTAGTGACTTCAAACACTGATGCCACGTTTTGGTTTGGCCGCCCCTAACTTTCTTCCAACCATTCCCAACACTAATCAGCATTGAGTGTCGTGGTAATCGGTGTTCAGGCATACGTAACACGTGGCCCAACCATCTCAGTCGATGAAGATTCATAACCTCATCAACTGATTTACCATCATTCCTTAACACTCTGCGTCTAACCTCACTATTACTTACCCGGTGATCCCAGCAGACGCCAGCAATATTTCTAAGGCGTCCGTGGTCAAATACTAGTAGCTTATGAGTGTCTTCTGCTCTTAATGGCCATGCTTCTCTGCCGTAAATTAAAACAGAACAGACTGCCGTGCAGTATACTCGTCCTTTTGTTGATAGACGGATATCTCGCCTTAGCCATAGGTGACGTAAGTTGGCAAAAGCCAAACGAGCTTTTCGAATCCGTACTGAGATTTCGTCAGACACCAACCTATTAGGGCTGATCAGACTTCCATGAACACTAAGTAATTAATTTGTAATTGGGCAATCTGTGATGGTTTTAATATACAAACTGTTATTGATAAAAATTACAAATCTACTAATTAGGGCTAATATATAACGTCTCTTTGTGCGTAACTTAGGTTTCACCTCTCCGAAACATAATTAAAATTTTTTTGAAAACTAGGAGTATTACATGCACTTTTTGAGTTTTCAATAGAAGGCGTCTTGTAATTGGTGTGTTGAATCATGATTAAATGTTCACCAGTTTTTATCTCTTTTATATTAATTACTGGTTGCTTGATTGAGTTTTGGTAAGGATTTAATTCCCGTATCTTTACCCCAGTCTTAGACTGATCATCCTTAACGAAATTTCAGAATAGTCAAGTTAATCTCACTGGGCTGAATAAAGTTAATTTGCTTACCATGAAGCTTGAAGATAAGAGGTTCATCTACGAAAGTAGTGGAGGGCTTGTATTGTTGAATAGTATTAAACTAAGAATAAAGGTGCTTAATATTCCTCGGTTTGAATTACTTCATTGGTAGTGTATATTAAACATCAAAATTCCTTAAATAAATTAGTTCTGTGATATCACTATGTTGAATTTAATATTTAATTTATGTACTTTACTAATGTGCCTCATTCGTTAAAAGTACTATGATTGTGCTATTATCCCAGTGTAATTCTATTTATAAATTTTGTAGTTCAAAGTTATTTATTCATATTTATGAAACTGTGACTATTTTGGTGTGCGTAAATGTACGCGATTAAATGCGAGAAACAAATATTATGATGTGTCATCGTATTACTTTGATACTATAACATTTGTTTTATTTTTTTTCTTAATTATTTATCCAGGAATTACATACTATTCATAGAGAGTTTTTAAGCAATCTGAGTTTGGCAACTAGTGCAACTGTGAATTTCCTTAGTTTAAGTGATGTTTTTCTTAAAACTCGAGATAATCTTCTCATATATGGAGAATATTGTGGTCATTTACAACATGCTCAAAATTTAGTTTATGAAATTATGCGAAATGATGTAGAAAAACGTAACAAAATAGAAGTAAGTTATGATAATTAATATTGTCATTTTCTTTCTCCTTGTGTACGCGTGAAAGTACTTCCTACATGTTTTATTTATTTTTATCAGATACCTGGGTCTTGAACTGAAGGTATTTAGCACTATCAATAATGTTCTTTACGCAAAAGTACATATTCCATTACTATATGTTGTATGGTGATGAATATTGTATCGTTTAGTTTTTAGTTATTTTTTATTCATCACTTCACTGAATTCAATAGAGCATAGCACTGATGACTATTTAGTAATTCTATTTGTATTAACAGTTTAACAGCGCTTGACTACGAAATTTCTTTATATTTTGAACTATTCTCAAAACCTCTTGTTCTTAAACATTCCTTGATGTACGGATCAATAGGAAATGCGAGTGAGTTTTGAACAATCTAAGATTAGAACAACACATTTAAGCGAAGAGCATTGTTTTCAATTTAATCGTCATTAGTCTTCACCCTAATATACATGAATATTTGTATGAGAATTCTAAACTAATCAAGGTGATTTATTAGAATATGATCACAGTCAAATAGATTGGATAACTACACACGATAGGTAGAAAGTACCACTTAATAGTAGATAGACACGTGTACTAGTAATAAGAATAATGACATAATAAAAGCTCTAGTCAATAATTCAACATAGGAGGTAGGTTACACTTGAATAAATAGATCCTAAAAATAATAATCACAAAGCATCATTAAAATTAAGTAATAAGAAGTATGTAAATGATTAGAAATTGAAGAATATGAACGGAAAGAGGTGAAAAAGAACAAATAAATACAGGATATTAAAATGAGTAAAGTCGTGTATTAAGTCACATCCGACCAAGAAAGAATGAGAGGTGTCACAAATTTCTTCTGAACACATAAAATTTTGTTATAGGTTCAGATCCTTATAACTTGTGCTATGCGACAGATCACTAGAAACGATTCAGCTTTATTCACCATTCACCCACTGTCAACCAGGTGTGCCATGATAGAACTAAGTATTATTTTTGTCCGTCCAAACCAAGCTAGGAGATGTTTACTCATTCTTTGGTTAATTTACCTGGTAGTACTCCCGATATAGCTATCTCCACAGTAGCGGCTGAATTTGTAGATGCACATTGAGCAAGCAAACTCAGGTAACTCATCTTTTATTGATTAAACTGTAAAGTCTATTTGGATTCAGGGTCATGAATTTTCTTAGTGTAGTCACGGTCCAAAACCTATTTACTTATGATTGGGATGCAATATCCTTCACAATCGACTAGTTTTTTATGGTTAAGTCGTACGACTTACTTTGTATAGGTTTTATTATTACTCTGATAACATTCTTATCTTTGATACGTGATTCAAACAATGTAAAGATTTTCTACCCCGACTAAGGTCATCTGAAGGTAACAAATATTACAATTTAATCTCACCACAAAATCCACATAATCAGATTCTCTATGTAGCTATCCAAATCTGACAGAAAACTTACCAGTCTCTTTTCCACTACATGATGTTATCATAATCTCTTTCTAAATAATAATAACGACTTTCCAACATATGTTAGGATTCCATGTCGTAAGTCACTTACACAGAAATACTTTAAGGCAATGATTCGGTTACTTAGTTTAGAAATTTCCATGTTTTGGCATTTGGGATTGGTTGATGTTTCGTTCACTTCAATATGGACCCAAACGTTACCTTTCATAATATCCACATGTATCGATATATTGTTCCATCAAGTCTTGAAACTAGATCTCGCATTATCTATAACCTTCGAAGTCAACCTTCATTTTCATCCCGTTGCTAAAAAAGATAATCATTTAGAAATCTGTTCCTTATGTGTTACTGTTGTAATCATAAGAGTAGCTTGCACTACGGAAGCGAAAAGTTATAACGGCTTGGAACATCGATTTTAATAAAATAAATTATTCTACATGAATGACTGTTTTCGCTCTGATCATTTTTGCAACTCGTAGATTTCCTGCCGTGGACGGATATCTGCCTTAAAATTAACCAGTTGTTTCGTAAGTATTTACTTTGGGACTTGAATGCAACAATTCGATAATTCAGCAAGTGCGAAAATTAGTTACAAGTTATTGGTTTTATATGTCATTTGATGGTGAATTACAGTACTGTTTTCGTCATTGTGGATCCCCGTATCGTAAGTTATTCCCTTTATATTCAAGGAATGCCTTGAAATACCAAAACAAAATTTAGGTGTTTAACCCTACACCTTTATAAATCTACTTGCGATTCATGACATTATTAAAAAACTAGTGACGGTTATTTTCACAAGAATGTTGAATTGGTTGATTAATATTCCTCACTTAAAATCACCCAAACAATGAGTATTTTATTTATCGTTTTTAGCTGACATCTCAATTTTTGGAGACTAGGTTAAAACTCATGTAATTACTAAAATACGTAAAGATTAAATTTGACATCCTCGTTATGAAACAAAGATAGTTTTTTTTTCAACGTTCCGGGAATATAGGACAAAAGTATCTAAGATATATTTATACAATCTAATTTTGATTTGTTTTAATGGTCCATTCATTTTCCATTTTTTAAACAAATCATTCATAGTTATGTCAGTCAAATTCAGAGAAATACAATAAATTCGCTTTGGCTGAATTACTTACAATACCAATCCAACGCGTTTTGAAATATCATCTTCTGTTAGAGGTGAGCTTTTGTGTGTTTGATAAGTTATTATTTTTTTTACCATTACATAGCATTTTATTTTATTGCTTCTACAGATTTGTTTTCTTGTGATTTAATTTCCCACAACTAATTGAAATATCAAGCGTCAGATTCCTGATACTAATAAATACCGTCTGAAATTTAGGTAAAAAAAGTGAATAATTGCGTTTCTTGGGCAATATGTTTCATTCTTAATTTTTTCTAAACTCCTCAAGGTAAATCTGTACAAATATAACTCCTCCTATATCTTGACATTTTCAGTATTTTTTTTTCACTGGTTAAATCATTCGAATAATTTTATATAATTTTTGATACCCGAGAAGTGGTTCAGTGGTTAAGGCGTTCGACCTTCAACGACTAGGTTGCTGGTTCGAGTCCAGCCCGCCTACTTCAGTTTGGGAAGTCGATTGTTACTACTACTCCCCACACATAGAGTATGATTTGATGCCAGGTACAATAATATGTACCTTGTAATTCAGTTGAATCATGTGATATTGTCCGAGTATTAAACTGACTTCGAAAGGTGGAACTTTTTATCATATCATGAAATATTTGTGTTCAGGTTAGCGATCAAATTAGTTAACCTTGGATCGAATATGTAAACCAATCGAAATGGCTTCTTTTAAGGAAAATTGGTTAAAATATAACATCTGACAAGTAAATCGACTATAATCAAATTTCTGTTTGTATTCTGTTAACTTATGTTGATATTCAGTTTAATTATATTGTCTCGTACCAAATCGTCTTCGGATTTAGGGTATTACCTTAGTTATTTACAATTAATTGTTGCACTCACGATTTGTCTGAATTCCAACAGTCACTAACTTTAGGAACATCTTGAAGTCGCTGGTTAACTGACTATTATAGTAGTTTAGTTTAGGTGGTTTTGAGGAGATCAGCTCAATTTGTGGATTGTATTCATCATGAATATTGACCTCATCACTGCACATTCACGACTCCACTAAAGGTCGAACTTAGAAATCTTAAATCTTGCGCCAATTCACAATATGGAGAGCCTAGTGGATGAGTGATTCCGAGCTCTGTACTAGAACAAAGCAGTTGTTCAATGCCCCTTGATTTTCTTTGATGTTCCGACTGAGAGTAATCTATGGCGAATCCAGCCTACAAGTTGAAACAATCTCCCCAAAACTCCTTCAACTAGATTATTGTTATCAACTCACTAGTAATTTGCTTTGTTTTGTTTACCTGGAATCTAATTATTAAATATCTGGATTTTTTTGATAGCTTTGAATTTTCTCTGTATGACTTACAATTTTGTCAACACACTACTACTACTACTTCTACTAATAATAATAATACTATTACTATTACTACTTTAAATACTAATACTACTACTACTACTAATAATAATAATAATAATACCAGAAATAATAATAATAATAATAATAATACTAACAATAATCAAAATTGTGTCCAAGTGTATGGGATTCATAACTGTTACTTTAAAAAAAACGTGAGTATATCTCATTTCATACATTGTCCCTACGTTATAGTAAAAACTCAAAGAATGTCTCAGTTTTTTTCAGTTTTTCTTCGGTAAACATTGATGTCTTCTAGAAAGTACATTCAACTACTGAATCATTTGAATACATTTTATTGGGTTCACTGTTATTGGTCATAAAGCATTTTCAGATCAATAAACTATACCAGTTCCAGTGAATAAACTAAGTACTTTTCTTAAATTTCAGCATCTATGTAAACTCACTCCAGCTGATCACTATGATCGTCCTGATCTAACTGTAGCTCACGAAGCTATGCGTGAAGTTGCATTATCTATCAATGATGTTAAACGAGATCTTGACACGATTAGCTCGATTGATCAAATTCAATCCAGGTTTGTTTTTTTCACTTAATCTATAGATTATAACCATTCAATCCATTTTTAGATTAATAATTAAACTTCACCTTTCTTGATGAGTTATTGGTTACTTGTGATTGTTAAATAATAAATTATTATCTATATATGTTGCCTAGTTAACATAGTTGTTTTGACCTTATAATTGTAAATGTGTTCAATTGATACTTGAGGTTATATGGAATAATTCTACCGATTCAATAGGTCCTAATCATACAAAAACGTCAAATGCGAGTTTAAATTAACTTTTAATTGTAATAATTCAGGAATCATAATCTATGATATTAAAATATAAATATTTTCTTCATAGAGAATTATACCATTGGTTTAATCCAGGGTCGATCACTTAAATCACTGCAATTTACTGGATAAATAATCCAAACCTAAAACAATCGGTTTTTAATTAGTCATTTTAATTTCAGTTATGGATATGTCTTGTGTGAGCGCATATATAACCACTATACCTCATATTGAATCTTTAAACTGTAATAATGATAGGTTAGAATTCTACAGTGTATATTCGTTTTGCAAATTCGTGAGTACTTTACAGCATTTGTTAAATTTCGCTTCAATAACGATCAGAGGTAGTAACAGTTTTATTGGTAGTAGAATAGATTAGGCGGCGAACAAATGGTTCTAGAAAATATGGACTAAAGGAATAAAAAATTTATGAGATAATTTAGAGACTTAAAATCTAAGGGGGGGGGGACGAAGGGTGATTGTAATTAAGCTAAATCACCCGAAGTCTCTAACCATTGTTCACGATTATCACTCATACCCTAACCAGGTAGGCTGCATGACTCAATTTAACGGTTTGCATCTTCAATAACTGACTCCATGCCTTGGTTTGACCGCCTCATAGCTTTCTTTCAATCTACTCTCACACCAATTATCATCTCTTTAAGTTAATTAGACATGTGTGTGAATAAATTCTCATCGCTCATTTCTTTAAAGTTTGTTTTCATGATATCACGTATATGTCTATTGTTGGCTTACTTCCAAATAGCCATTATCATATGGAAAATTTCATTTGTCATTTATTATTTCGTTCATACATCAAACTAAATTCGGTTTTCCAATGATACCTAATATGGCTTTGACAATTTAAAACAATTCATTTATTATATAAATTAGTCATTTTTCTCTATTTTATGTGCTGTTTTTTACCTGCTCCATATCTTTTGTTTCTTTCTTTTGTTATCTTGACAGTTTACTTGAAATAATGCTGGTGAGTAGTAGTAGTGTGATATTTTCATGACTTTTAATTATATTTGATTGAATTTTTATCAAATGATGTATTTGCGTACGACATCCGATTAATAAAATGATCATTTATTAAGTGATAATTGTCATAATAGTAAATTTTCCAACTTTTTTATTACTGACTTTATTGGTCGTTTGATCTTGAAAAGTGATTTGGTGTAATCAAACTTCGAAAATTCAGTCTATATCCATGCTTAAAATAATGACAGTGAAATAGAAATAAAAATGATCCTGTATTATAAGAACATCATATGACATACTAAGAATTATGGATTGAAACGTATTCATTAGAAAAAACAGACCAGCGCCTAGATTCACTAAATAATAGATAGACAATAAGGAATTTAGTCAATCTGTTAATTATTTCTATATACTAGTAACTTACTTGCTGCCCACCCTACTTTATTAAATAATGAAGAAGAATACACTAAATGATGCATCCAAAAAAAATTTCATTCATATAATCTGTTAGCGGGACATAGATTGGATTAAAGCGTGCTCAATGCACGATTGCGTTGGCGCGCGCTGATTAGCTAGTTCTTATTCAATCAGCGCTAGTCGGTACTTGGAGGACACTCTAGAATATTCTCATGCAAAAACTATAAATATACTAACGGTTTTCCTATTGTGCTCCTTACTTCCATCTAACCTTGTTATTTGGAATATAATCTCTTTCTTGTCAACCGTGTTCTGATTTGGGGACTTGTCAAGTCAATTGGTGTCCGAGAATACTAAGCAATAGGAATAACTGGATTGTAATAAGAGAGAATCATAACATAATCATTATGATTAAACAACTGTGACTGCTAATTTTGCAATGCTATCTAATTGAACAATAACAGTTTCAACTGATGGATATAGTCAGTTTCAGTTTATCTTGTCATAGTAAAAAACGAATAATAAGGGAAATCAACCGCGAAACAAATGAATTACGATTGTCTAGTGTTGAAGTAAATATCATCTTATTCTTTTCATGAATACTATTGATTTTCTTTGTATAATGTTCCATTTCAAATAATCACAATTTTTTTCCCTAAAAATAAACTATTTCATGAAATTGATTTTTATTCTTCACTATTATCTCCTGATAAATTTTACGTAATTTATTAGGGAAATGAAAATTTTATTCACTTTTTCTCACAATATTAAGATTGATTAATCACTAGTTTTCATGATGAGTTTTAGAATTTAGTAAAGGGATATGCAATTAGATTCAATTTTTAGCAATGAATTCTTTTAATTCTTTATCATTATATTGAATGTATGCAAAAGAAAACTGAATTGTATGCGAAGATAAATTTCTTAATGTCTGATTATAGATGGTCATAAGAATTCAAACAGGTAAATAGGCAGGTGGAAGGAAGTGACCTTGATTAAGTAACTGATCTATTTACTTATTATGACTTGTTCACATCGTGTGACTTGTAAAATCTTTAATTTTTTTGAATATTATATTGAATATTATATCGAGAAAATATTCATTAAAGTTATAAGTGAATAGTTTCTGTTTGTGAGAGATATCATGGATAAAGTAAATTCAAAATGAGTTTAGATAATATTGAATTGATTCGTATTAAATGAATGCTTTCAAAAATATATTTACACACAGTAACTTGTTTAATATGTGGATGATTTTCATCATGAGCTGATATCAGTTGGTGACCCATTGAAAACTAGGTAGTACACCTAGTTGTTTTATCCTAGTATAAGAATCCATAACAATGAATATCTGTAACGTCTCCAGAAAGCTTGGATCTGAAAATTGTCTTGCATTTTCGGCTACAATAGTAAAAATAACATGTTTCTGTTCATCATTATTACATAATTTAGCGTAATCGTTCTAGTTACAGACAAATACCAGAAAGATATTCAAATATATCGGTATTATATTTGTACTTTGTAGGTTATGAAAACGTGGTTTTCAGATGTAATGCTAATAGTTTAATTAATAACCCAAGTTCTCATTTGATCTCATCTCTATCCCCATATATATAAGCGCGAAAGTTACAATATCAATAATTTTCGGCAAATAATTACTTTTTTCCACTAACTTGTTTTTAACTTAGTAAGTAAATTTGAATTACATACACCATCACTTTTTATCTCCAGTTATCTTGTGTTATTTGTTGATTTTTCAGCCTCCAGATAAAAGGTTATCAAGTTATGGGCACTTGCATATGGATGGAGAAGTGAAAGTTCTTTCCGAATCAGAAAGCAAAGCGAAAACTAGGTAATATAACATTGTACTAGAGTCAGTTATGCAATGAATTTCGATTTTATACCTTGAATGTATTGATTATGTTACGTTGTTTTGTATATTAAAGTGTTTTATCAAAACATTAATAATAATATCGTACCCATAAATCTACTTCTCAAATCGACTTGCAAGTAGGATGAAAGATGCATCATGGATTTCGCTACTATTCTCTATTCAACTTTAATAAAATTTTGTAATTAAATGGAGATTTCAAGGCAATCCAGTCAGGGTACAAATATGTCGATAATAACTAACAAGTTGAAATCCATAACATCCACAAACTCTTGAAAATGATTTACATTATGATTTAACAGTTTTGGAATTGTTAGTACTGTTATTATTTTCTCGGTTTAAACGATTAGTAATTATGGTTTGCTATGAGTAAGTTATAATAAATTTGAAGCCTTCCACAAATGTGCGTTGACTCAACTGGCCCTACTACATCAGCTCAACAAAATGAAATTATCAAACAGGATAGCAAACAAGTCCAAATAATTTTAATATTAATGATGGTAATAAACATTAAGAATATGGTTCAAAAAGACGAAATTAGGTAATATATGTGAATTAACACCGGAACTCAAGACGCACTTAATTACATATAAATTTGGAGGCCATATTACACTATAAACAATGAATATTCATATTTGAAGTTTGGGACTTGACACAGGTTAATGAATTATTTACTGAAATTAATGACCGGAAAAAAAATCTAGCAATAGTTAATGAGTTAAATAAAAGGTTACAGTTAGATTAGTGTAAAAATACCATTCATCAATTAATTTATGAACACATATTAAAATATATATGGTAGTTCACCGCAGAACAGCTTCCATAGTTTTTTATTTCCATTCATTCGCCCAGTCATAACACAGTCACAATGTATTGTTCCCAGTCATTATATTATTTCATCTATTCACATTGCTTGCATAAATTTATCTCGACAAAACCCAAGAGTAGCAAAACTGGCTAGGGAAGACAACAGGTTGATTGGTAATTTGACTAAGTTGGCCAAAACAAAATCTTTTTAAAAGGATAATCATTGAAATTGTAAAATTTCTGAGGTAAATCGTTGTACATTTCGTCTACACCGTAGTTAGGTATACGATTTGAGTTCACAGTAGATTAGAAAGGGTAAAAAAGTTCAGTTTTAGATTTTATGAAAGCTGAAGATTTAGTCGAGTTTCGATCGTCTATATACATAAATCAGTCTATCAGAAAAAGACTTTCAAATAGTCTGTTTACTGTGGTCTTGAATGTTTACTTTAGAAAAACTTTATTCGAGTGCAAAGATTTTATAATCCAAAAAAACATTCACAGATTACTAGTAAAATGTTAATTTTAACAAATTTTTACACATGATTTTATTCCTATTAAAGGTTAGAAGTAACTTATTATTCAAAATGAAATATATTATTATAACCAGTACTAATATTTGCATCTTAATTTTACATTCCTTTATTTAACACATTAAAAAGTTCTGTAACTAATATCTATTCCCAAACCGCTCTCTTCTTTGAAATGTCAATTAATGGTTTAATTGGAACAATTAATAGGTATAATCTCATCATTTAACTACATTGGGAAATGTTGCACTTTTTTGATAACGGTGTTCAATAGATGAATGATTTTGTCAGGATTTAGTTTTATGACTTCGCACTTCTGTCATTATCAAAAGGAGGATGTTGTTGACTACTTTATTATACTTTGACCTATTCAATTTTTGTGGTATTGTAAATTTCAATCACTGGGTTGTGTAGGTCATCATCCTCCTCTCTATCTTCATTTTGGGCAACTGAGTGGCATCGTTTGAGTTTATATAAAACTTTGTGACTAAAGGTTAGCTATGTAAATCTGTATTCTATATCAATAACTTAAATGTAGCGCAGAACATTGAATTATGAATTAGTGAAATATGTATATATGTGTTTCTAAAATGTTTTTATTGACTTTTCTCACTAGATTTGTATTTCTTGTTTATTTTCTTTGTCTAATTTGCAGATATTTATTTTTATTCGATAAAATATTGATTGTATGCAAACCGAAGGTAAGAAATTATTCTAAATAGTTGTACACTCACATTATTATTATTTTTATTACATTTGTACAACTGGCTATCAGTAGTGTGTGATTTTATGGATAGGAAAAGACCATTCTCCTCCTTGGAAAATTTCTGTATGTGTCGCACCAATTGTTTCTGTTTCTACTACTTACTTTACAGTGAATAGAATAGTTTTTTTTTTAAAAATGTTGAAGTACTGGTGACATGAATCAATTTTTACAAAATCTTTCATGATAGTTATTGCGGAGATTAATTTGCTTTTTAGATCTTATTCGTCTCAAATTGATATCATTTAAGAGTAGCATCGGAAATTAGGCAACATTGGTCAGCTGTTTCGTTGTAGTATGGGACTATTAAGGTGTCCTCACTTATTGACTCTTTTGGAATTGAATCCAGGTAGGTCATCGAGGTCTTGTAGTGGGCTTTGAGTTGGGATCCAGTAGTTTTCATTGCCAAGTTTAAGTCAGTTCATGGTATAATACGATTATCGTTATTATTCGTACGTCTCACGATGTTCTGGTTGCTGTTCGATGTTTATCCATTGACGTTAGAAGTTGGTTAGATACATTATCATAACGTTGTATTGTGTGGTAATTGTATTTTTTTTCTTTACATTGTATCGAGAAGTGCCGGTAAAGTGATTGAAATGTTCATGAGTAATCATCTTTATTGGGTCATTTAGTGTTGAGTATATGAATCTTTTATATCGTTTTTATTATATATATATATATATATATATATATATATATATATATATATATATATATATATATATATATATATATATATATATATATATCTGTAAGGGTTAGTCATATGCACGCTGGTATCGAGAGATTTCTCGTTTCATCTTGCCATTAGTATGGATTGATAAATGAAAATTCATAGTGTAATTTCATTTAGTTAGACTGACGAGTACCCTCTCACTCCTTTAGAAGATTTAATAAGTACTTGTCTATATATATTTCATCATTTATGATGAACGTCTTATCCCTAGACCCATCATGAAAATACGACTTGGTTACTACTAGTGCTATCCAAGGTGAAATAAGCAATTCGCTTGTTTGTTATTACCTCATTCTAACCTATCTGCATATATATACAAATCGTTATTATTATTATTATTATTATTAATTATTATTAATTATTATTATTATTAGTTAGCCGTATATTGTTCCAGGAAAGATTTTAGTGTTCCAAAGTTTATTTTAATTCCACTAGTATATTCATCACAAATGCCAAAGTTTTAATAAATGGAATAATTTCAATTCATGTCAGTAAGCCTTATAAAAAAATATTACATTTTCAAAACAAACTCAAACCACGGTTCATCGTATATTCCATAAAAAGTTTCACGTTCTTCTGTAGTTAAATCTGGCCTGCATAAAGTTTTAATTAATTCTTGCTTGCACACTATTTACCATGTAAATAAGTAATGGTTTGTTTATTCATATCTAACCATTATGTAAATCCTTCATTTGCGTTTACTTGTTCATCTTGTTCAAAATTAAACAAAGCTTATAATTGTTAGATATTGAGAAAGTTAACTAACTTGCTACTGTTTTAAAGCACTCTGTAACTGTGATGTATGCTACTTATGTCTGTCAACATAAGTAGTCTGTTACACTGATCAGAAGTGGAATGCCTGTCAGCAGAAGGTTGAGAATATCGAATTGACGAGAACAGGAATGTAAACAGAGAGTTATTGTAAAAACAAAAGGAATAAAGGAATGATGAATTTTGTAAGCGACAAATAATGGAAGATGTGGAAATGAAGTATTTAATGTATGGTTTTCGTATTTTACGAAGACCTTCTGTAATTTTGTATTAAACAATAAATTGGTCTTCCCCGCCTGAGTGTTTGTTCACTACATAAATAATATTCTACGTTAATAATATTTATCAACAGTAGTCATTTAAAGTTGAAAATCAGCTTGAAAAATCTAGTTGTATATCTGTTTGCTATGATACTATCATCCTGATAATCATCGCTAACCTCATAGTTGTTAAATTAAATGAACAACCTGTTTCATTTCATACACTCTACTGCATATAAACTAAACATATATCTTTATTTGGCTAACATAAGATCAAGTGGTATCAAAAAGAGAGATCATGTGATTAAAACGAAAAATACTGAGTTTAGCGTATGATATCGGTATTGCACTAGAGAATAATTCATCTGAATCTCATCTATAAATTATCGGACATTTCATGGGTTACTTCCATGTACTTAACCGTATAATACGTTAGTTAATAGTTAAGGGAAATCACAAATGAATATCCATTTTTTTCATTATGGCGATTTAAAATCAAGTGTTACTGGCCAAGTACTTTTTTAGGGTAATGTAAAAAATTTATTGACTACGATCAGCCACGATAATATATCTAGTGAGGTTATCTTAAAAAGAAAGGTCTAATATATATGCTTAGCTAATTGCTTCTTGCATGCATCATAGAAATATATCAATCATGTGATTTAACATTATTTCATTGACATTACTGGTGTTTGTCTACATAAGTGTGTGTATGGAATAGAAATGCGAATAGATGCTATTCTATTCTAAAATCTGAAAGGGGAAACCGTTAATCGTCAATCAAAAATGTAATTCTATTCAGGCAAAAGTAAAAAAAAATGTTGAAAGGTTAATCTTTGTTCACGTGTACACTTGAGATATCCACTGTGTAATTGCCAAAAGAATGTTAATTTTAAATATCTAATACCTCTTTATGTAATTCTGTTCTCCTTTAGTCAATTACAATTGATTCATCACAACATAAGTAATGCAAATTTTTTTACAGACAAACAGTGAATTGAGGCGGACTCCACTTCGGAGACATATTATGTGTTACATGTTTCCAAATATTGGTCTGGATAACCACGAGTATTCAAACCATACTTACGGAACATTAAATATCTCTTTCTTTCTTGTATCCAACCTGACTAGAATTTAGTAATTTGATGGTTTATTGCTGTATTGTCTTCTCTCAACATCATGTTCGCTTTTCAGCTCATTCTGACGTATAAACAACATAATCTACATTGTGATCAGGAATTGATGACAGCTAACAAATCTCCAAACCACTTTTGTATATACAGCGTATTATTAATTCTGTAAATAGCATTCATCTCTGTTTACGTTCTTTTATTGTGTTCTATTTATGTGGTTTTTGACTACAAAGTTTCCCGTTAATCGCGAAAAGTCTTAATTTTCGCGAATATCAATATTTTTTAATTCCCGTAGGTACTATTGTTATATATTGTTAACGAAAATGGGAATAATTGTCACTTTCACTGATTATTAAAGATATTTTCCATATTGCTTTTATTGTTTTGTCCTTTATTCGTTATTCTTTTTTATTATATAGGGTGATAGTTTTACATTTATGTTCGCTTATCATGTTGTAAATGGCCAATTCCAACGAGTTACTTTATCAAATAAAAAGGGAGTAAGTTTAATTTAAGTATTAAAATTTAAAACAGTTATTTATTTCAATATCATGATTGATTGATGTGTTAGTTTTTGTCAGTTGTGTACTACTTTGGTTAATAAAAAGAAAATAACCTACTATATGGTTAACAATTGTTTGTTGTTCTTTTATCGCTACATTACTGCTGTGATTCACTGATTATGATCGCGTGTCACAGAAAATTGTATTAAAACATAAACATGATCGTCAAAGACTTATATGTCTCTAGTTCTTTGTTCCTTGAAATTGATTACTTCAGAGGTACTTTTCGCGATCTATCAACGACATAGAACAATAATAATACGAATAATAAGTAATAAAGATGAACTGAAGAGTTGTTTTCCCACATATTTGGAGCCTTTCTCTCATCCCCAATGTCTTCTTATTTAAAATCTATACCACTTCATCTTTCATATTAAGCACTTTTCAGTATTCTCTCTTTAAATTTAAATCTAATGGCCGATAGTTTTCGCTTACATCTAGTTAGTGATATAATCCACGCTCATTTCATTTGTCTTGCTAGCAGGGTTTCGTAATAATCCGTCAGAGGTTTTTTTCTCGTTGTTGTTAAATCTTATTTCTTCCTATCATTTACGTGCGTAAAATGATCACAGGATTTGATTATATTTCAGATATTAAGGGATTGTGATGATGATGATGATGATGATGATGATGATCGTACATGTAATTCTAGTCTAAGTGTATGTGATGACTGTATTTTTTTTTTACACATATTTCATATGTAGGATATTTTTGGCAGCTTCTCATATGAACTTTCCAAAAATCAGATTATTTTATTGCAAGCAGTTTCGACTTGTTATCATCACACAATCTCTGCCAATTCGTTGCTTTTCCAAAGGTTATACTCATTTCATAGTCAACCTCAGTACTGAGTTCAATTGCAGTGGTCGATTTTTTTTCCAGTTTTTTGTAGCAATACGGTTATCCCTCATGGATATCTACTTACACATATAACTGAAGTAATCATGCATGTTTTAGAAATCACTAAAGTGATTTAGCTTTGTATTAAAATTAGTCACAGTATTAATGTATGTAAATAGTAACACTTATTTGGATGTTCAAGACTTATTGTAGCATAAAGACTTGAAATTATCATGGAATATTGACACAACTGAAAACGACTTATTTTTGCATCACTGCTAGCTAGTCGTATCATCTTAAGAGTTTGTCCTCTCTATTATGAAATTGCTTTTTTCCTATGTGTTCTGAATTGATACTCTAAGCTTTTGTTTCTGTTATCAAATTTGTGTATAAACTAATTATGGTGGATGATAGTGGCTAGTAGTAGAATCCAGGAACGCACTTCGTTCTATTTGGGACTAGTTAACAGAGTGTACCCTCATCCTAGTGTTTGATATTCGCAATCCAAATATAATAACTACAAGGTTATACAGAGGAAATCAGGTCAGTGTGCAATCCCTAACAATAATAACAATGAGAAAATGCAAAACCATACAAATGTTAGAACGATGGGAATATTCCTCATACCATGGTTCTGTGTCCACATTTATGTCGAAAAAAAAAGAGTCAAATTCATACTTATCCTTGTCTTGTTACAGTTTCGCACTAAAAAGATTCCAAACAATGAAGTTCTTGTTTCTTATTATTCACATGTAAATTACTAGTCATAAAATAACTGCTTGCATGTTGGGTTCACTGTAATTAAGCAGTTTAAAAGCTTTTTTGTTGAATGTAGGTTCAGGTTTATACCATCACATCGTTAATCAGACCAAAATCTCTACTATTATCTTAGCGGAAGAGTTCTCATAGATTACTTATCTGAAGCATAAGGTTTTATGTATGTTGATGTTTATTAAGAATTAGTGATTACAATTTTGACCAGACTAACTTTAACTGGGTTGTTTTGACAATAAATATCTCTCCCCACCCTATAATAGGCAGATTAAATGGTACAATATTACCAGTTGATTTGACCATACTTCTTATTGTTAAACTAGTTTCCTCAATTACATTTTTTGAAGTTGATAAGTTTAGTGACATCAAGTTTGAATTATCTTACAATACATTACTTTAATGTATAAAAAAATACTAACTGGATTTTGTTAGTAAATTTAAAAAGCCAGAGAAGTATTCGTAAATATATTAAATTGTTCTGTTTATCACCGAAAAATTTCAGTAGGAATAAAATATATCCTTCGTAAAATCCGATTTTATTTAGTACAATCTAATCTCAATGTTATGTAGCGCTGTTACAAAATTAACATATCAGTTAGATAATTGAGCTACATTAATTGCCACTGTATGGTTATTCCATCCATCCTTCACAACAAATAAAATTAGTGACTGATTTGTACAATTGTGATATTATGTTAAAATGACCGTAATGTAATAGCAAGAATTTCAGGTTATTACATGTTTATTGCATAAAATAAATGTGATTTGTGTGCATCTAAGTTAAATAACGAACAAAAATATCAATATTTGCTAACATGTGATAAACTATATATATATATATATATATATATTAATAGACATAGTTATGTACATTACTTTTCTACGGTCTAGTAACTCTGACGTTCATCATTATCAGTCAAACTTGTTTCGTCAGTGTCTTTCGCAGAAGTTCTGCACAAGGTGAATGTCGCTTCAACATGTGAAGCTTGTCCCACCGGCGGAGAATTCTGTTAAATATCTGACATTCAGATTTGTGTATGATAAGTATCTATTTTCCTAGTTATGTATTTTTATACATCAGCTCCTACATCATTGTAGTATTCTGTTTACAGTACTGATGGAGTGAAGCTGTATCCACCAGGACTGATCAAATCATATTTACACTACTGTTCCATTATGTGTCTATTTCCAAGTCTAATCTAATTGGAAAATTATGAACTTCATTGTTATAATATTTGAAATAATTAAAACGATTTTGTCCAGAGAATTTCTAGCATATAGTACAAATCGTTTTTGCATCCAATCTGTTGTTTTAAGTTGGTGATTTAGAGTTTTTTCTCTCTCTTCCTTTCCATTCTTCACATTATTATTATCAAAAGATCTTTGCTACTATAATCTTTTCTTTGTTTTTATGGAAAAATGAGACATTTTCAACCAATAAACTTATTGTACTCAGTTTTCTTGTACTCTTTGTTCTGTCATCAAACAAAAGCCCTCTCCAACGAACGTTAAAGTGTTTTTTCTTCACTGCCTCAAGATTTATATTCCCATTTAGCATCAGACTATGTATTTATTTTAAGTCTTTAATTGTCCATTTTTGGTTTGTGCTTTTAATGTTTTATATCTTTTTAAGTTACACTCATCAAGATTGTAGGTGTAAGCAAAATTTTACTGTTTATTCATTTATTTAAAATAGTATTCCTATGGATTTACTTTACCAATTTTGGGTGATAGAGATTCGCCAAATCTTACTTTCTTTACAAAATCCGAAGAATTACGTACAGCTTGGATGAAAGCTGTAATGGCTGCATTGTAAGTTGATGGTGTCAATCTTGTGTGTGTATTTGTTTTTGAATTGGTTTATTTTTGTTGTTTATACATTTAGCAACTGTGACAAATTTCATGTGAAGAGAGTACTGATGTGTTTTGCACTTTTTTAAATTAAACTTGATCAATTTTATACTCCTCTAAAATAAATCGTTTCCGAGTAATTCGATTACGGTAAAATTCTGTTTATCTTGGATTTATTTGATAAACATTCCAAGCTTTATCATCAAAGATGAATGGTTTCTAGCAGTGGGATCCAGGACGCGCGTTTTGTCTTATTTTGAACTGGTCAGCTGGATGTACCTGCATCCCAGAGTTGATGTTCAATTGCAGTCCTAAACATCAATGTCAAGGTTCAAATAAACAATACAAAAGTTTTGATTGAGTCCGTAAATCGATCAATATTAGACCACCATTTGAAACCTGGAAGCACTGGACTGGGCATCCACGATTCCGCGCTCGCGAATTCGAACACAGGACCTTATGTCTCGCGCGTAAACGCTTAACCCCTATATTACTGCGCCGGTATTCAACGGTTTTAATGTCTAACTTCAATAAGTCCACGGAATCGCGTGACCGTCCTCCATTGTCTTATGTGTGTAACTGCCTCACAACCAAAAAAATTAATTCAAAGCTTTAGTTATGTCCTTAATAAAGCTAGAATACTGTTATAGGTATTTCTTATGTAGATGTTAATTTAATGCCTTCAGTTTACGTATGATAGAAAACAGGGTTATAACATATATAATTTTATTTATATAGGAATCTATTGAATGATACCGGATTTTTTTCCAGGCAAAAAATCTTAAATGTGTTGTGAACAAATAACATCAACCAGTTGTTCAGAATAAAAGATTTTTTAATTTGCTATACATAACTTCTGACCATTCTTATTTAAGCAAATCTGAAACCATGGTTGCTATTAACCTAGCAATATTTTAAATTTATTATAAGTCTTGAAAGTTATTCGTAATCATTTAAAATAAATTGTGAATTTCCTAAAAAGGAACTAATTTTTGCTTGATGATAGTCTATAACTTTTGATATTTTGTCAAACTTCAGCGAGTTGCAACAATTCTGAAGTCAGTCAGACCACTTATATTGTTCTTAGTATTCAAAGTTGATTTACCGTTTCGCACAATAAATTCGATAGTTTGATTATTTAAGATGGCATTATCTGTAAGTATTCATTTCTATACTCACCACTGTTTTGTACTACCCCTATTATTTAAATTTTCTATGTTAATATAATTTGTCATTATTCCCATCGCTCATTCTCCGTTTGTTTCATGTTGATTTTTGATTTCATTTACAACAGGTCTAATCTTTGTCCACCTGGAGCGAAAGACCGAGGTTACAACTTTGAAATGTTCACATTTAAACAACCTACTTATTGTTGTATCTGTAATAAATTAATCACGGGAATGTTCTTTCAAGGTTATCGTTGTCGAGGTAAGCTTTGTCAAGATAGATTCTTTCTTATCATTCACGTGAGCTATTCAGCGTGATTTTAGGCTCAAACATTAACTACAAGTGCTCAATTTTCATTATATTCGTGGTTATTTTCCAAAGTGCAGTTTAATAGTTTATTGATTTCTTATAAATCTAATGTTAATGTGTAACACAAATTATTACAACTCTATTTCTTGGCTTAAATAAAAGTCAAGGTTTATAGCTCAATGAATGTTGTACTTACAGATCTCTTATGTCTTAATGGGTTACAGTAGTTAGGGATAGAATATTATCTTCATACTCTGTGATTTTAAGGGTTTGGTTGCTTGATTTTGATTCGTGATAACCGTGATCATTGGCTAGAGACATTGAGTAGCATGACTTGGAATCAGTTGCGGTAGCACAGACACATTCATTCTTTGTTTTCCCTAATTTTCAAAATTGTTTCATATATTTCACCCTGCACATTCATTATTTCTTATTAAACCATATTGTCTATGGGTTATATGTTTTGCTACCACTGACACTATTCTGATATTTATCTTAATGGTTTCATCTCATGATGCTGAAATGTTGTGGCAACTTGTACCGACGTAAATTGATCCCGTTGCTTATGACTAGTAACAAATTGCGTTAAGCGTATGTACATCTTAAAAATATATTTCGTCTATAATTTGAAGGTTTTCAACTGTAGTCCAATAAATTTCTCCATAGCTTAACACCTGTTTAGTAAACTTCTTGTAAAAATTCTATTCAAACATTTAATTTCATCAGATTGTGTGCTCGTTTTGTAATTTGTGTTATACTTTGAGCTTTCATATTTAGTTGCTAATTTCTCAACACTAGTGTAGCTAACTTTATCAATGTTCGTTTTATAAAAAACTGAATATTTATAAAGAAATTCTTCCAATTTTAAAAGTCATTTGTAATCACTGTTCTGAGGATAACTATCACATATCATACTTCCTCTCTTTATTGAACTAAGTTTAACAATTTTACTGACCCATCCTCATTTGTAATTCATCATTTACTAAAAAAAATTAAGTCAGAGTTACTTGTGTTAAATTTGTTTATACGTTCATGTCATTATAGACAAATAAGTATTCGCTTTGTTACACTTAAAAATTAAACTTTTATTGAAACAAGTTTTGTTTACAATAGGACTTGTAGGTGAAAAAGAATCCTTTAAGGAATCGGTTACGAGTAGTAACTGTTTTTAGTTTACAAAATCAATCTTTGTAACATTTTTGTCCTTAACACTGTTAACGGAAAATGTTTCACAAAAAAAGAACAGCATTAAACAATCAACAAATATATATGTAATGCAAACTTGTAACACAGTAATAAAATGGATTTATTCATTTTTTATTCGTTAATATTCTTTAATTGTTTGCAATCCACAATACTTGTATCAATTATTTACAAAAATCAGTTTATCAATCATTTAGTCAATCAGTTACAACCGACTATTGTAGTATAGGACCAGCCGTAAATATTCATCAGTTCAAATTGCCACATTTCATCATACAGCAAGATGAAAATAGCAAAGAAGTTGGGATATTAATTAGTATCAATTACCGTAATAAAGATTCATTAGAATGAATATGTTCTGAATAAATAAAATGTGATAAGACGAAAAATTATGGGAACATTTAATGGAACTCAACATTTGGTCATCAGTGAAAAAAAGATTTACATGGCTATGATCAGTTTTGATCTAATTCAGTATAGATCTTCAACCATCGATCATGATTATTGATTTTGAAGCACGGAGTTTTCCAGAAGTTTGGAGATTAACTCTAAGAGAGCACATATTTCAGTAAGATGACAAAAGCTTGTATATAGACGGAAATATTTTTATCGGATTTTAAAACAGTTACAGTTTGCTATAAAATATTGTATCATTGAACTTAGGAAATTGAAACTATGGAGTTTATTAACATTTTTTTGGCATATGATAATTAGGTCTAAATCTTTTGATGACAATTTCAGTAAATCTCTTAGTTTATGTGCTTACTAGTTATTTGATATGTGAATGCGACGGAGGATTGCTGTGCTAATTATTTTTTTATTTCGCGATTTTGATTCCTTTGAGGTCCACTTGAAAATTTGAGCAAGAACTTTTTTCTCCAATTTTTCCAATGTGTATACTTTGGCTTCTTGGTTTTGAATAATGTTAGCTTAAAATATATATAAAAACACTTCTACTTCTGCCTATATGTAGATTGACTGTTTTGCATTCAGGTTGACTGATTACTGAATCAGTACTGGTAATAGTAGTATTAGTAGTACTAGTAGTCATATCAAACCATGCAATCACTGACTCTAAAGTATGTACAAAAATTTTAACCCTCTGGATTATGACACAATTAATTGTTGAAGACTGTTATTACCAATGGAAATAATAATTTTCTTATAAATGTTATTCTTGCTGTTCCGCTATATTTCTGTCTCTCTCTGCATGTGTATGTGTGTGTGTGCCTTATTAGACTGATAGGTGCATCAAATTTTGATTACTTCATTAATCAATAATGACAATGACAAGGTTTCATTCAACTCCCTTATATGCATCCAAATAGTAGTGCATTAAATTTCTTTCTGTGGTCAAAAATTCATAACAAACAGTTTACCTTTTTTTGTAGCATAACCTTAAATTCTTGTGGCTGTATGTGTATGTTCCACCAGTGAAATTGCTCTTTTAAGTTTTGTGTACCTAATCTATTCTACTGGTTATAGTATGTGCTATCTGATGTATATGTATGTTTATTTTTTTGTGATGAAGCGGAGAATGGATATCAGTTCTCTTCATAGTTATTCACTCATATTTGTGAGAGGGCTGGGTGCCCAAACTAAAGCAGATAGTTTTCTTAGGACCTCACTTCTCGAGTCTTTGGCATAGAGGTCGAATCTACAAGGTAGTGGAGCAACGTCAGAAGATAGATTTCAATGGTAACTGGTAACCAAAAATAGACTCATACGTCAATCGATGCTTCAGGATCCCAGAGCACATATACACAATTGATTTTGAGTTAGTGTTTTCCAACTCCTATATCCAATGCGGTTAAAGCGCAGAATGTCGGATTTTCGTCCACTAACCTTTGTAAACAATGTCCTCTCCGTGAGAAAGCAGTGCGTAGGGCTTCTTTGACAGTGACTATGAATCCATGGCTATATGAAAGGATATTGAGATGGACTTTGAACTCTTTATCCTTGGCCTTATTAAAGCATTTGGAGACTGCCAGACCGTGCTTTATTTGGCGATTCTAGGTCTAGTTGGAGAGAGTTGAGGGATGGTTAGTTCATGATATGGCACCAAGGCATCAAAGTAAGTTATACGGAACCGAGATCTGTCGGTTCGTTACGACTCCTCTAGTTGAAGTCTTATAGATGGCGTTACCTGGTAGCGTAAGACATCATTCATGTCTCAGGATAGAAGTCAACAACGGTCATTCCGTAGTATTTTTTACATTTACTATAAAAACGAGAGGAACTTCTATAACTAAAAGAATTCTTTCAGGCTGTACTTTTTAAACTGATATATCTTTACTTCTATAATCTGTCCTCGGCTCTGGTATGGCCGAGAGCGGGAGAGTCAGCTCTCCCTTTCGAAATGCTCTCACATCGCCACGCGTATGCAGCCGCTGCAAGGGAAGTCCTACTCACTGCCATCTTGTGACGGGGATGTTTTATTACCAAATTGGGAGGACGAAAAGCGAATGTCCGGAGGTTTAACTGGGTTGGTGGATATAAAGGGTCTACCTAGGGGGGTTGAGAAACTCTGATTCCAAACCATTGTTGCACATGGGCTCCAGGATCCTGAAGGAATAAATGACATATGATTCAACTACTGGTTACCGGCTACCATGGAACTGCATCTCCTGACGTTGCTCTACTACCTTGTGGATCAGACCTTTAGGTCAAAAGCTCTGGGTGTGGTCCTCTAAGAAAACCACCAGTTTCGGTTTGGGCACCCGGGTAGTATTCCATCCCTCACACAAATCTAATAATTCATGTGGTTCATATCTATTTGGTGCCTTCTTGTTCCAATGTGTATGTGTTTTAATAAAAAAATTATTTGATTATTCTTCATTTATCTCCTCAAAATATTATTTCCTTTTTACATAAGACATATTTATTTTCTGTCCATCTTTACTAATGTTTGTGTTTCAATGGATAAATATCCAAGTTTTTGTATGAAACTTGGAAACCCTTCAACTAGTTATATTAACTTTAGTTAATAACTTTCTGTTGATTGCGAGAAAGAAACTAGCAGTTACAATCCAAGCTTCCTGAATGAAACAATAACTCTGTATTTACATTTCTCGAAGCCTATGCTTTATAGTCATCTGTTCTATGTTATGATTGTTATTCTCGATAGACTGCAAAGCGTTAGCAGTGACCCAGTGGTTAAATCGGTCGACTTTTAGTCACTAATTTATATGGTTGAATTCCGTTCCACATACTTCGATCTGAATAGTCCAGTAATATAACTAGTCCTCACATTTAGAACTCGACTGAAAGTTAAGTGCATGAAACCTATACCCGGCAAGTGTGCTAATAACAATGTTATGTTATCTTCAAAATGCCCTTGTGCCAAAAAACAAAATATAAAAATTAGTTTTTCATTGTTTTGGCTTATTAAATATGACAACTGATAATATTTTGTTTGTGTTTTACTATAAAAGTAGAAAAACTTATTCTTTTCCTCTTCAACAGTTGATCATTCTATTCTAACCTACCTTTCGTGTTAATCCTCTGATTGTGTTGTAACATTAAATTTCATTCTTCTGTTAATTTTTTGTCATTTTTCTTAAAAGAATGAAATTTACTTTGAATGTATTTTTGTATGTATCGGTTGGAGTGTGCATTATTGCTTCATACAAAGACAATAATAAAGATTATTTCTTTTCAGACATGCTTTAGAATTATTATTAACACTACAGAATACCAGCACCGTTCTGATTATATATATGATCAGAATAAATACTTTTGTTTTCATGTCTATTTGGTGAGAATTAATATCGGTTTTGTTTAATTCATATAGTGTTTACCTTGTTCTGTCTAGTCTGATTGTTATATACCTATATATAAAAACCTTCCTGACATTGTTCTGAGTGAAAGTATTAGCGTGTTTTTCTGTATTTGTTTATTCTTACCTTTGTGAAACGGATGCTTACTTAAAAATACATAATGTATTAGATATATCTAGGTATTTCGGATAATAATATATGCGAAAAAGTTTTAGTGGCCCGTGGATCTGACTCCAAGATCGTACGAATGATTGTTATCGCCTAATCTCGTATATAATCGTCGACTTAATCGCGTTAGCCAATAACGGAATTAAATAAGTCGAATAACGAGAATTGATTTGTGAATACATATATTTCGTGTATGAAGCGAATGAAATAGAGCATAGCAAAACAACACGCAGGGAAGATGGCTGGGAAGCCAACTCCATTTCAAGCCAGGCATTACTCAATATTTATAGGCAGACAAAATAAACAACAGACATGTGATGAGTCATGGGACATGAAGTGTACACACATAACGCTCATATAAAAACAATCAAGACTGGCAAGTGAATAATTGACAAGGTCAAAATATGGCTCAAGTAAAATGAATTAAATAGGATGTCCGAAAGTTCGAATAAGGTATATGGGCTTGCCATAATAACTGACACTACAAAGTCATACAGTGTTTTATAATGTGTCTCCATTTCGAGTGTGACTTCGATTTATTTTCGAAGTTCATATCTTTTAGTCTTTAGAGTAGTAGTCAATTTTGTATTCGAGTTCTGTTGCCCGGGGTATTAATTCCTCGAAGCCCTGTTGGGTCATGCTAGTACCATCATAATATAAGAATTTATTTTCACCATAAGGAAAGCTTAAGACTGGTGTTGGTCTGTTGTTACAAGATTGTGACACAAAGTGTATCACTACAATGTTACCAGTATTTCCATCGACCCTTCTGTTTGAAAAGTTCGCATATAAATAAACAGCATATTCCATCCTACCATATGAGTTTTCATGACTTGTAATTAGGTGCTATAAGACATGAATGAAAGTTAAGGGAACTGACCGTTGAAATTATAATTGATTGACGACCTTTGAGTGATGCTAAAGTGACCTTAAGAAAACTCATTAGGGTCGTAAGAGGGTTATAAATTAATATGAAGAATCAGGGTTAGAAATTAGAGCCATGATTTTCATCACGAACTGATATAAGCTATAATGCCAAAATTCTGTTTAATTATTTGGATCAATGACGTAATTCCATTGGTTTGTCCACAAATAACAGTTTCGCCAACTGGCATTCCCCTCTTCCAGGCTAACTTATTTTGATGACCCAAAAAAAAGTATCAATTCCGCTTCTCTATATTTACTGATTTAATTGCAAATTGGTTAAAGTTGATTTTTTTTATCTGAAAGTGTTAATCAAATGTATGATTTTCGTAGACTTCTGATCAAATTTCCCTTATTCAAAACTGTGTAGCAGTAGTTTTCTTTTTATTCGCTGTATCATATATTACAATCTTGGTATACGTACTAACTGATACTAAAACAGTACTTTAAACCCTTTTATACTCTTTTATATAAGAGTACTTTATTTTGCTTTCTGTATGCAGAAACAAATCGAGCTGCACATAAAAGTTGTCTTGCCAATCATAATCTTCCACTGCGTGGTATGGCTAATCCACATATTAATGGAGTTCCTCCGAGTGCCCCACCGCCATTACCTCCACAGATTAATACAGTGCGTAGTCGACGCTCTCATGTAACGATGGGAAGTGTGCCATGTACACCTGGAAACAACTCATTATCTAATTCAGAATCATTTGACTTTTCACAGTTAACTGATACATTATCTTCTGTGAACCACTGGCTTGCGACTGATCATAACAATCTGTCGAATGTCACTTTACAACGTAATCGACGTATATCTTCAGGTTTACCTACATCAAGTATTCCTCCAGTGAATCCAACTTTTGCTATAGTACGAAAAGCATATGATGGTGATCCTCTTCCACCATCAGGTAGTCATCCTTTGAAACTATCAATTGGAGATCAAGTTGAATTGATCAAATGGACTGAAGGCTCATCATGGTGGCAGGTGAGTTTTGTCATTATGATGTATTCAGTTCAATATATAGTTATTTAACTTTGACTTGTAATCTCTTTAAAATTACCACTGAAAGTTGTAAACTATTTGAAAATATAATGATCATCTCTATATTATAAAATTCTCTAGCTAAATATCAATATTTGCACACTAACAAGTCACCTAATCTTCAAAATATACATAATCTAATCATGTATGTACTTCATACTGACCTTGGATTATACTAAACTAGTGGGAATAGTTTGTTACCTAGTTGTCTATCATATGTTTTCCAAAATTATGATAAAACTGATCTTGTTATGACATGTTTCGGGTCTTCCTTCAAGAGTTAACGTTGTGTAATTATATGTTTCCCGATGCATATTGAATTATAGTCATGTAAATCGTCGATAGTATATATGTCACAGAAAATAATCCCAATTTTATTTCGACTATCATCAACAAACAACTGCCTACTAAAAATGAACTTTTGTCAATTTTCGAATACGTAAAGTCTATAACATGTAGTTTAATATCTACTGAACATAAATTTTGTGAATTGTTTTATTATCATTAGTATAAGATATTGACGACCAGATTTGTTTACTTGGTTTCTTAACCACATTTATTATGCACGGTCTATACTCTTCGAAGTTGTATAGACAGAGCAATATTTGATTCTGCATGCCGACCAACAGTCATACATTGCTGTGTAACTTTATAGTTTCCGTAAATTCAGTATACATTAACATATTCTTTCTTTTTGAATATATGCAGCTTAAATCATTCTGTACTGCATTATTTGTAGACACTGAAAAGTCTTATCGATTGAACGCTATATTAGTTTCCTAAGCTATTCTGGTAACCCGCAAGCTAGAACTACACAGCGACCTGAACATCAGAGAGAGAGAAGATGCAAGTATGAGGGGAAACACTTTACTTCAAGGTTCATTTTATTACAGAAAATATAGGGTTTTTATAATATTTTAAATGTTCTTGGGTCGCTGGAATATTCTGGAATGCTACTAAACACAGTAGTACTGTAGTAGCCAACCAATCAGAGCTTCCGCATGTGACGTTTCGCTACCTTGATATTTCTGGCCAAGACTCCAAGTAAACGCTGATTGGACGAAACACTTCTTAGTGTTTTTTGATGCTTGCTTGTCTTTTGAAAGCGATTTCTAGATCACCCCAACAGACACAAGCAATGTTTTTATAAATTTTTAGTTGAAAACAATGAATTCATTCAAGGGAAATAACCGATTGATTGTATGGACTGAGTAATTCAGTATTGAGTGTTACCAGTTAAAAAAATTTATTTGACTTTATGATCAGTCTGTCAGTCAATCAGCTACAACGTAGGACCAGGCACATATATGCATCGGTCCAAGTTGCCATACCTCATTAACACAACAAGATGGACACTGGATTCATAAAAGTAGTTAATTCAGAGGTGGTAATATATAAAAGAAAGATTGTAATAAGGATATAGTACAGGAAGAAAGAATTAGTTGGTAGAAAGAAAGATATGAAGTGATTTTAATCTCTTAGTTTAAGGGAAGACAGATAGTGTATACACCGACGCCATTGTGATCGATTCTGAGCCATGTCATCAAGAGTCTCCATTCATTGGTTACGATAGTCACGTGAACCCCAACCAAGTAGTCTGCACCTCCTAACATGGCTCAGATTAGAAGTTAGTGACTTCAAGCACTGATATCGTTGAACTAACTCGGTAATCATCTGATAAGTACAAGTTTATAGACTAAACTTTACAGAATGTTTTGTACATGGAGACTAGTAATATTACTTATCCTCTGAAATGACAAATTAGTCGATCAACATTCAAACTTTTAGATGAATAGACGTTCTTGATATCCATTTAGTCAGTTCACTAAGTGACTGAGTCGACGAATAGTGTTTTGCTTTACACCGATATGATTATAAACATTAGCTTGGACAATGACATCATTGAAAATCTAACTCATATTGGTTCACTCAATTCCTATCCTCAATGACTAGTCAGAACACGAAATAATTCAACCTTGTTGCTGTCTGTACGTGGCTTAAGAACTCATGATAATGTACATCTGTTGAAAGACTAACATACTACAGATAGGAAATCACAATTTTTACATAACTAAGTCATTTATAATACAAACTGAGTAGCAGATGTATAATCGATTGGAGATAATTTGTGGATACTTACTTACTTACCTACACCTGTTACTCCCAATGGAGCATAGGCCGCCGACCAGCTTTCTCCAACCCACTCTGTCCTAGGCCTCCTTTTCTAATTCCATCCAATTCTTGTTCATCTTTTTCATGTCTCTTTCCATTTCTCGGCGTAATGTGTTCTTTGGTCTTCCTCTTTTCCTTTGGCCTTGAGGATTCCATGTGAGGGCTTGTCTTGTGACGCAGTTGGGTGCTTTCTTCAATGTGTGTCCTACCCACTTCCAGCGCTTCTTCCTGATTTCTTCCTCCACTGGAAGCTGGTTTGTTCTCTCCCACAGTACGTTGTTGCTAATAGTGTCCGGCCAACGGATCTGAAGTATTTTGCGTAGACAACTGTTAATAAACACCTGTATCTTCTGGATGATGGCTTTCGTAGTTCTCCAGGTTTCCGCCCCATACAGTAGAACTGTCTTGACATTTGTATTGAAAATCCTGACCTTGGTGTTGGTTGACAGTTGCTTTGAGTTCCAGATGTTCCTCAGTTGTAAATATGCTGCTCTTGCTTTGCCGATCCGCGCCTTCACATCTACATCAGATCCACTGTGCTCGTCAATGATGCTGCCAAAATATGTAAAGGTTTTTACATCTTCCAAATCTTCTCCGTCAATTGTGATTGGATTGGTGCATGTTGTGTTGTATCGGAGAACCTTGTTCTTCCCTTTGTGTATATTGAGACCTACTGTTGCTGAGGCTGCTGCTACACTGGTAATCTTCTCCTGCATTTGTTGTTGCGTTTGGGATAGAAGGGCCAGATCATCTGCGAAGTCCAGATCGTCCAACTGCATCCTAGATGTCCATTGTATCCCGTGTTTCCCTTCAGATGTTGATGTCTTCATGATCCAGTCGATCACCAGGAGAAAGAGAAAGGGTGAGAGTAAGCAACCTTGCCTATTGTAGAATTGATCTTTAGCGTCTACATTGTAGTCGTTGGTAGGCGCATAGCATTGGATGATATTCATTGTAATGCCCTCCTTTTTTGTTTTGAACGAGGCTTTGATGATCCTTGGTCCATGAGATTCCTATCCTATAAGCGCATTTTGCGCTTGTTTGGACAGCATCAATGCAACTCCTTGTGTATGTCGGGCATTTTCTTCTTCATGGCCGGAGTATAACAGAAGCTCTTCTGAAGTTAGTCGTTGTTGTCCAACTTGCGTCCAATGTGTTTCACTGATCCCAAGTACCTCTAGGTTGTATCTTCTTATTTCTGCAGCAATTTGGAAGGCTCACCCGGTGTCCCACATTGTACGAACATTCCATGTACCTAAATAAATGGTCGCTCTGGTTGTCAGAAGGGGCATCGGCCTCGTAACTTCCGAAGGAATTTGGCTTTCATCATGAGGCGTCATAGTTCTTCTAAATGAAGACCTTCTGACTCTCAGGGTAGAGTTTAAAAGGTTTGAATAATTTTTTCTGGTTAGCGTTTTTTTAGCGAGTTAGTTTTCTACGGGATGGGGACGCTAACCCCATGCCCAACCCTCCTCCTTTATCCGGGCTTGGGACCGGCAGTAGCCCCCGGAGGGACTCCAGGCGGAGTTAATTTGTGGATAGTAAGACATATTTCATTAGTTAACGATTCAAATGAGAGCCTATAATCAAGACAATATAAAAAAACTACCATAGTAAAATATCCAATATATACACAATAAATGTATACGTCATAGCCCACTATAGAATATTTCTAAAAGTTCCACCTGTACCAATTATTAGCTCATCTCTAACGTTAACCACCATGGATTCACTTGAATACCAAAAGATATTTTGGAGACGATGTTCTCCATTTTGAAAAGTTGATGAAGACACCCACCGCTGACATTGCATCAATACGTTCTATATTGTTTATGATTTTTGATAATTTCATAATTGTCTATGTAATTAGATGCAATGTAAATAATCATGATTTTATCCAAAAAAGCGGGTTGGAAGCAAGTAAACTTTTCATTGTTGCAACAATGATTGCTTAGTTATCGGTTTTTTTCCACAAAATTAAACAATTACTTGTATGCTATTTTAGATAAGAACTGGGTGTTTTTTTTTCAAATATAAACATTCCATAAACTTCGTTATACGTCTATACTGTCTACAAACAGTAGTTTCCATTCAACTATATCCCCAATGATTCTTAGTGATAATTAATTTGTTTCTATCAACGACCTTTCTTAATTTTTTAAATTTCAAATCATCAACATTCAGGGTTACTGTGATGGATCTGAAGGTTGGTTCCCTGCTAATCTCGTTGAAATGGTGGTGAATAATAAAATGAATATGGTGAGTTGTTCTCTCTCTTTTACCATTTTTTTCTGCGATTGGTCAACAAGCTCTTTCTTTAAGGTCCCAACGACAATTTGAGCCTCAACATGTAAACTTCAAGTGTCTTTGAGACAATAGGTGGCGCCGAAGGTTTGTATTTCAAGAAGATAATTTTGATGGAATTTCTTTCTCTGAGCTGTTTGGCATAAAGCATTCAATTATCGTTGTAAATTAAATAGACAAGATAGTGATTTCAACTTATAGCCCATCATATGGTTATTACTTGTCTTGTTCTAATTCATTCGAAATTCTAATACCTCCGGGGTGTATGTAAAACTTATTTTTCCTCTAATATCAACTCATCTAAATGATTTTAATTTATGAATATTTTAATGGGGTGTGATGACAAATATTACTTAATTAACATTCATGGACAAATCAATGAAATTTAAGGTAATAGGTCTTTGATTTTGGCGCGAAATTCTTTCATCCACTTTGCTGAGTAGCATTTTGGCATTATAGGTGATGTCAGTTCGTGATGAAAACGATCAATTTAATTTCTAACCCTAACCATCAACTGTAACTCATAGTCCTAATTCCTCATACTGGTTTATAACCCTTATTTAACACTAGTAAGTAGGTGGACACTTTCATAGAGACTTTAGTGTCACTTAAAGGTCTTTCATAAATTATAGTCTCACCGAAATTTCTTATGATTCCGATCTAAGCTGGGAAAACTACATTAGGTGATTCTTCAGATTTATATTAAAGCTAAGGTAATTTGAAATTATTATGACAGAACATAGTACTTCATGTTAAAAACGTTTGTTCATATCTGATTTAGATGGTAATTCTTGGTTAAACTAAATGCTTTTCACCCAAGGGAATATGTATATTAAGATAGAATGAATACATTTTATTTTTTTCTTGATAAAAAGTAATTAAATGAAGTATTGATGGACCACAACATTCGGTTGTGAAGCCTTTACTTATTTATTTATTTTCTTTGGATTGTATTCTCATCAATAAATTCAGATTGGTACTTCGAATACAACATTTACCAACAATCCAGGTATGTCGCTGTCGACTTTGATAGGGCATCCTTCTCGGCACAGTTTACCCCCAGATTGTTCAATTTCAACAAATAATTCCAAAGAAATTTGTTTAAACTTCGATCTGGAACACTTTCCTCATCAACACAATAAATTAAACAATAACTGTACTACTACTACTACTAATAATAATAATAGCAACAATAATAATATTTTGGTGGATACTTGCCTACGTCAAACCAGACAGACTGTCACGTCACTCGTAGACAGTCATGATCCTCTTACTGGCTATGACTGGTCTGTTTCGACACTTTTTTTTTTAGCTCGGTTGTGTCTATTTATATTTGTATTTGCTTTTTAGTTGGAAATTTGATTTGCACGAATTGATCATTAGTGTATATTTTATATTTTCTATGTAATGCATGTGCTCTGTCCTTTTTAAGCATGTTTATGTGTATACTAGTTTTATTGATTGTCTTAATGACTTTAGGGATATTTACTTTATTCATTTTCATTCTTATTTTAATTAGCCAAACAGTACAAGATTTTCTCATCAAGTATCTTCATCGTCTAGTTCTGATCGAACACCAGTTTTTAATAATAATACTTCAGTTCAGAAACCTTTCTTTTCACCAAATGAAACGTCTCCATCCAATTTACCTTTATGTACAATAGCAAATAAAACTTTAAATAACAGTCTATCGCCTATCGTCGGTAATAATTATAATAATATTCCTAGTCCTCCTTGCTCATCATTAACATCTCTTATCCCAGTGAATATGAATATAAATAATTCATATCCTCCATTAATGTTTCGACGTTTGAAAAAGCGTAGTTTATCAGCTTTGGAAATTCCCGAATTATCTCAGTGTATTGATTTAGTTCCATCAGTATTGTCAACTACCCAAACTGCAACTGTTAGTGCAACAGTCACCTCGAGATTTGAAAATTTTCCAACAGATCTAACGATGGACCATTCACATTACTTTCTGTCGACTTTTCCCTGGTAAACTGTGCATCTTTGTTTATTTGTATAATGTACATTTATAATATGAAATGTGTATTTCTTATTTATCGTTGTAGAAAAATATCTAAAGTAATCAATTTTTTTCCAATTACAAGAAATGTTGTTCTAATAAGTTATGCCAACTCATTTAGGTGTGTGTAGCAAATACGGTGTAGTGTTCTTATTTTTTAATAGCAGTTTCCTATTTCTAATGTCAACCACAATACATTTTAAACATCAAAATACTTATCGATATATTAGGAACTATATTAAAGCCATTGAACGAAATTCTGTTTAGTAGTTGTCTGTCCTTTATTTCTAAATTTTATTCGTGTAAATACTTGCTTCAATCTAGGCTTTTTTTATCACTTTGCTTAGATAGCTAGTTTACAGTTCTATGCTGTGTGTCCATCTTATGTATATAATTTGCATGTTTGGATTTGTTTACCTTAATTGCTGGATTGCTATGTGTCATTTTGCATGGTCATTTGACTGCTTTATATTACTCTATGTACAATTTGTAGTTTTTATTTATGATACATAAATTATTTTACACTGTTTGGTTTGATATTGTTATTTTTTGTTCACAGTTTAAGAGAAAATATTATGCCCATCCATACTATTTCTACTATTTGTAAAAGTTTGGAAAGTCAACCTATGCCAAAATATCGATAATTTGCTGGTATTATTATTGCTGTTTAATTAACTAATTAATCGGTTGATTGATAATTGAATATTGACTAACGTCATTTCTGTCTAGACTTCAGAGATTATTGAATTCCATCGATTAAGTAGAAATGAGGCTACTAGTATAAATGATTTAACATCGCCTTCACTACTTTTCAATTTTAGGTGGCTGAAGGTAGTAGGCAGAAGACTGCTGGACTTTGGATTTATGCGAGTTGACACTCTTTAGTAAGGTTTACCCGCAATTTCAAGGAATCTGATACTCTATGTTAGATTCGAATGTCTGAGGCTGAATGTGAGTGACATGGATTCTAATCTAGTGCAAAGCATTAATTCTCTCAATATTACAGATATTCCTTGCTAAGGAGTGCTAACTAGCACGAAACCGTGTTCAGATAGTGTTTCCCGCAGTCTATCTCCAAACACCTAACACTATTATTACTATGTTTTATGTGTCTTTTATATTAAAATAAAAAGATATGGTGTACAATCTTTGTATTCATTTTGTTGTTTGGCTATAGCAACAGAATGTATTGAATAAATAAATGAACACTAGTATTTAGATGGTGGTTGGAGGTAGTCAACAGGAAACCTTGGACCCGGGTTTCGTGCTATTTGGCACTCGTCAGCAAGGTGTACCTGTAATCTTGATGGAACTGGTGCTCCCTGGCGAATTCGACCTCGTGTCACCCAGCTTCACAGTCAGAGACGTTACCACTGAGATATCCGAGCCGTGACTGACCTCCTGTAGGACTGAAATGTAATTACAATTGAATCCGCCAGGGAGCACCAGTTCCATCAAGATTACAGGTACACCTTGCTGACTAGTGCCAAGTAGCACGAAACCCGGGTCCAGGGTTTCCTGTTGACTACTTCCAACCACCATCTAAATCTCAATATATAGTGCCCGCTGTGTCGAGTCACCTAGACTAGTGGCCACATTGCAAATGATTGATAGCATTCGATCTGCACTAATACAGTAGTATCCGGTGATAAACGGCTATAAAAAGTATCATTAATTTTAAATTACTTAGTATTAAATTCAGGAGATCAAGGTAATTTATTTTATAAATTTGAAACTGGACGACAAATGTCTTGAAGAACTTATAAGTTGATTAATGGGATTATGAATATTCAAGTTTATTACAGAATGTAACTTAAACGGTACTTGTCACTTGGAATGATTGGTATGCTGATCAAATCATCAGTTGATGTTAAATGAAGATTAATCTTGAATTTGCTGAACTGTAGAAACACTAAGAAAATATACTTAATTCTGACATAAAGAATGCTGTTAGTAATGAATAAGAAAACAAAGATAACCAGTTTACTATTCTTTTTCACTTTAATTAGTATTTAGTCGGCTAAAATCGATCTTATTTCGAGACATTAAGACAATGATATCATCGAGGACTATATATTCAGATTAACAAATTTATTCTGTGAATGCTAATGTAATTACTGTCGATAAATATGTGAGCTGAATGTAGTCATTGGATAACACAACAAAATCTACTAGGTCAACACGAAATTCCTCGTTTAAAATTATAGTTTAAGTTTTATGAAACCACAAACCTATTAAATAACTCGATTTGGTTTTAAAGTTTGGTATTTACCTTTTCTGATATACTTAACTAAGTAGAAACATCAAGTAAACACTATTTATTTATTATCTGTTGATGAATTTCATATATGAACATGAATAACCTTGTATAACTATTCAATGTGTAATTAATAATTAATATTATATAATGACTTGTTTAGTTCTTGCTGTAAATCAATTTAACATTACAATGAATACAAATGGAGTTGTAAGATTTCAGTAGACAGTAGCTTCAATTGGCTCATGATTTTTACTATTGAAATTACTACAATCTCCGCAAAACCCCTTCTGATACTAAAATTATATGTGTTTACATCAAAAATTTTATTTCCAAAATAAACCTGTGCTTTTTGTTTACGATAGATAATTGAATTGAACAGTTGTGTAATCAATCAATCTTTAAATGTGTATCCATCATTTGCCTGAATAAATTTTATTTTTGTCTGTGTAGATTTATCAGACATATTGTGTCTTGTTAGTATATTCTCCGTAGATGTGACAAAAGTTCTTTGTCATGTATACACATGATATTTGTTTTGATTTCTGAGTTAATTAATGTTATTAACTAATGTTACACTTTGAAATATAAGTAACCTTAACTAGTGTTAAATATATAGGCTTCAGTGGTGGTTTTGTTTCTGAGAAATTTAGCTTTTAGCTAGCAGTAGGTCATATGTTGGAACCATACTCTACCTATTTCACTTTAGAAGGTTGGGTAGGATTACTAGCTCTCTCACAAATACTGTGACTCAAAGTCCCGAGTACATAAACCTGTATTTAGCAGACGAGTTTCATCTGCATAACAATGTCAGTTGAATGATCATTCAAGTTCAAATAATACCAAACTGCTATTCAATAGTAATATCGTTGTATCACAAATAATTTTCTAATTTATGACTATATTACCTAGGAATCTCATAGTTATTTCGTTATAGCTTTCATCAGTTATTGACAAGATGCAAAAATTTGCAGTGTATAATCACATCATTAAAAATGATGCAAATTCTTATTCCCTGTATTTTAAATTATATCTGAAGGTATATATCAAGTTATTCATTGTTTCAGGTGGTTATTGATTATGCAGCAGTTTATTATTTACTTCATCACAGGATGATGAATGTGAACGGCTTGGAATTGTTTTTCTTAAACATTATTAGTAACTTACTTCAAAGCCATCACATAGTCAACATCAACAATAAATAAGTTTACTTTAGAATAATTTTATCGACTGATGTACTTGGTAATTATCAACATCGGTTAACATTTTTATACCATGTTTTTCTCAACAAAACTTACACTATTCAAGCTGATTATTATGAATAGTTTATTTGTATTATGTAGAATACAAAATAATTTCATTTAACTAAAAAAGAATCCTCTATTCATCAGAACATTCAAATGATGTCATACTTGTTAAGATTTCATTAGTATGGGTATGTAATTGTTTCTCTCAATAATTTCTTAAATTCCAGATAACCTTTTCTTTTGTTTTTTTTCTTCGATATTTGTGTACTTTTACAGTAGCACGAGGGAAGCATGCTTAATTCAAGTTATATATATGTATACATACTGTTATAACTAATCGTTTTGTATGTTGGTATTTTACTGTTTTCATTCAACCAACTGTTTTTCTATTCGTTCTACTCTCTTCTGCCTAATTCATTTATTTTTATTTCTCTAACTTATATATCTATTTTTGTTGATGCAAATAATAGGTATGTTGGTGAAATGGACAGACTTGAAGCTGTTAATTTATTAAGTAATTGTATTGACGGTACATTTCTTGTACGTCTGTCTAAAAGTGCTGAGAGAATGGGAGAATATTCACTATCTGTTGTATACGGTCATCCACGGCATATTCGTATACAGCGTTTTTCATCATCTGATAATTCCTGTATTACATATGGTCTTTGTGAATTAGAACAATTCCCAAATATACCGGTATGTTTTCTTTGTTAACTAATAAGCTAGTATTTATTACTAATATTATTATTCTTACTGAAACTTGGTTGAGATTTTCGAGTGAAGGTTAAGGTTTTTGTTCATTGTACTTTAATTTCACTGTTTTCCAAATGATTGTTGTTTAAAAGTTCTTGAAAGATAATTTCCTGTATTGACGTTTGTTGGTTGTGTATGACTGACTGACTTTGTCGGTTCCTGAGGCTATCGAAACATATGAATGCTCATACTTTCTTTCAACTAGTATTATGCAGGTTATTAGAGGTGGTTCGACCATATGACCTATGAGCGACGATAAAATTGAGCAAGACGAATTAGTTATTGAAAGTTCTGTGGATGACTTTACTCATAGCACACTTTCACTTAAACTTCACTAGCCATTACCTTCATCATCGGACTACATGTCATTTTCGTAGTTAAGCTCATGTAAACTCTCAAATCCATGAAATATATTATCGAAATAAAAACAACTTACTGAAATATTTTCAGACTATAGTTAGTAGCTAATTACTGAAGAGACAAAAAGTTGGACACGAAGTACCTATTGCCAACTTTTTCTCTAGTTACAGTTCTGTACGTCGAAATAGGCATCACTAAACGTTCCTTCAAGGTTATCGAGAAAAGTAGTTCATTAGTCTACTAGTCGTTTAATTTTCATACTATACGTGAGATATATATTGGTCTTCGAAAACAAGAGATGTATAAATCTTATACGATCGAAGCACCTTCATCACTTTCAGTTATTAATCTTTATCTCAAAGATTTCACGTAAATGTTCTCGGACAATAAAAACAGATATTTAATTGAAGAGTAGCCTTAGTATGGATAGTCAATGAAATTTAGCAAGTACGTAACTTTCTTTTCAATATTCAGTAAAAAAGATCTGATAAACATTAACCAAAGCAGTTAATAAAATTTTCAATCAATAACCAATCTATATTTGTAGCTATTTGTGTCCTGAAACATTTTAGTGAGTCGCGTATACGCCAAAATATTTGATGAATGTAGATGTATTGGTAACAGTATTTTTATTTCTAAGTAAGGTTCATTATGCGGGAATAACAACTTTTTTTGTGATTCTGGAAATTCTCAAAATATGCATTTTTTGTCAACAAAAAGGATTTGATAGCATACAATCATGAAGTATCTTCTTTATAATTTTTTGAAACTTGATGTCGTAAAGTATAAACTCCTAAAAATACACATACATTGAAAACTTTTCTCTTTAGTGCGTAATTGACAACTACTCCAAAGTGTCGTTAAATCGGTGCTTCGATGAAGTTGACATCACATTACTTTATCCCTACCAGAAGTGTCCTTGTAAGTTAACTATTATTACCCATACTTTTCTACTACGTACCTTTCGGTTTTGTATATATATACTTGTATTTGATATTCTTTACTGAACCATCGTCTACTTCAATAAGTAATGTTTGCTTGTGTAAAATAAGGTGGGGGAAAACTAGGGGCGGACAAATCAAGATGTCACATCGGTCAATAGAATCACTGACTGATTATTGTAACGAATAATTGGAGATCGGGCAAAATAGGTCAGAGTCAGTCACAATACCACATATGCATTCACTATGTTTTCCCTTAGATCTTGAGTTTTATACTTATGCTTTTTATTCAACGAATTCATTCTTCCTTCTCGAACTATATTGTTTATGCCTAATGGTTTATATTACCACACATTTTACTGATACTGTTACTACTTCTACTACTCTGACATCTGTCTTGATAGTTTCATCTCACTGTGTTGTGGTTTATCAAATTGAATGGATACACATATGTGCAAGGTTCTAAGTTGCTCATAAGTTTCGACCAGTGTCCATCAATTACGTAAAAGTTTAGTGTCATTGTATTCTAATTTTTATGATCGTTAATTGAGTGGCAATTTATCTCAGGTTTGTTATCTTATAGGTAAAAATAATCTGATTAGTATTTTTATTCAGACAAAGGTCATTGAAGTGCTATGACATTCAGACTTCATCAAGTCTTTTGAGAGAAAAATTCTTGTCTGTTTATTATATTTCTTAAGATCACCAAATTTTAAGATAAGATTGACTTGTTAGTTATATATTTGACCATCAAACAACCATTCTCACAGAATATAGGTATATTTCGCATAAAACATACAAGTTGAATGTTTCATTTAATATTTTGTAAAATACTTCTTTCTTTTCATTCTTTGTCTATTCATCAATATATTTGAGTTGTCAGGTGATTTGTAAAATAAACATTTAAAATTGGTTTCTTTGACAATTAAGTTTGTGCTACTTTTGTCACGTCTAAAATAAGGAGGATTCGAATGAAAACTTCATTTCTCAAAATTACTAAATTTTATCATTGGTAAAAGATTACCACTATATGATAAAACTATTGAATGATTGTTAGTGTAGTTTTGAAGTACAACTTGAGTTAATCTCTATACATTACTTAGTCAAACTAAATTGAATGAGATATATATGTTGTATGATGTGAAAATGTGAATATCATTTCTATTTTTTATGTTTCAAACCGTTTTATATCATATTCAATATCAAATAAATAAACTAAACTAATGTATCTTAGAATTTCGAATTTATTTATTTTATTTAATAGTTTTTATTATTATTTTACCCGTTTGTTTATTTCTTCATTTTCACTATGATTGTAGCTGATTTCATGGCATGTATAGATTGTATATAGTTTTATATAGTTAGTGAAACATATTAATGAAAAGTACGTGAATAGATTATCAAGGTTGATGTACTATTTCATTATTAAACTGTATTTCTTTCATTTTACATAGCATCACCATTGTTCTATGTCCGTGCAAATTTCGATTTTCATGATACGTCTAATAGTCGTTTCTTGAATTTGAAAGGAGGTGATCGAATTGCTGTAGTTAGTCGTGCAGCTGAGGACAGAGGCTGGTGGAAGGGATGGCTAAATGGTCGTGTAAGTTTATACGTCTCTTTTCACATGTTAACATTGTGAAACCCTTGTGTTATATTTTCACATGTAACCGAATTAACGACCCAGTCTATTTTCAATATTAGTTTTAACCATTCAATGTTTAGAAATATCGGTTAGTTTTCACCTCATTTAAAAATGTTTCTAGTTAATTTTCCATTGGATTTTCTAAAGAATCGTTTACATGTCAAAGTATTCATCATTTTACTAATTCCTAATAAAATTAAAGTTTTAACGAGAAGTTTTTATGACTATCAATGATTTAGTGTTGTTCACATTTTGTTCTATTGCGTGATCATATTAAGTTGTTTTGACTTACACCAACACTTCAAATACTTTCATTAATTAGTCTTCTACTTATTTATTTTCAAGTAGTCACGCTACCCTACTATGAAATTAACAGTAATTTTATTTTGTATATAATCGCTTTTTCTAAGAGTAAATAAATTCTCTCTCTTTCATACCTGTTTTGCATTCATCTCAAAACTTACGTTTTATTAATTCTCATACAAATTAATGTAATATATAGAATGGCCCATAGTCTTACGGTAATGATCACTGTTAGGGTGATCCAGAAAATTCCTCGAAAACAAGCTCAAAAAGCTTCAAAAAAAATCTGAGAAACATCTTATCCAGGTAGCATTCAATAGAAGCTTTACGAGAAACATCTAGAAAGTGAAGTCACATGTCGCGTTTCTGATTGGATGATTACCTATACTACTATTATGTTTATTAGCGTTCCAGAAATTTCTGGAAATCCAAGGCCATCTAAAATGCTATAATTACCCTAGATTTTCTGTACATAAACGAACCTTGGAGTAAAGCATTTCTTCCATATTTCACGCCTTCTCTCTTGTGTTCATGTTGCTGTGTAGTCTTAGCCTGGGGGTTACCAGAAGAACTGAGGAACCAAAGATATTTCGTCAAATAGTTTATTTCCAGTAAAGTAATTCTCTTTTAATTTATATACCTTCACAATCCTGCAAAAGGTTTTTTATTAGAAATAATTAGGAGCGGTAGCTATGACTCGTAATAGTTTACTAATATTCTTTAAAAATCAAACTACATCGTTAGAATAAATCTAATCAGTGATTGTTTAATTTTATTTAACCTCTCTTAATATCAGTAAGTTTTTATTGTTAATTTATAAAGTAGAACATAATTTGTTATGCAAAAAATAACTGTATAAACTATTCAACTCACTTCATCCATTCCATCTGATAACTGTCTAGCATTGATTATACAATTCAATCTTAATAAATTCATTCTAAGTTCAATCTTCTCTGTGAGATAAGTATTATGTTACCGAATATTATATGATCTATATTTCTTTATAACAAAAACTTGTCAGCTTATTCTATCCTTAACTAATTTTTGTACTGTTATTCTGAATGAATTAATAACAACTGTTCACTACTTTTCTAAATGTTTATCATTTTTATAGTGATAATTGTCATTGATGTATATAATGTAAAAATGTAAATAATTTAATGTAATTCGTATTGTTCTTGTTATTTCTCCATTCCTGTTTTTTCGTCTAGATTGGATTCTTCCCCATGTCTTTTGTGACAAGAGAGCTATCTGGATGATTATACTGGATTACTATTTTATTTTTGGAAAATTTGTATTCTTTTTTAATCCACTTATTTTGTGAACATCTTTTTACCAAACCCATTTTTATCCCGTCAGAAATCTATACATACAACCCAGTGTGAACTGTTTATTAACAGCGATTTAAACAATGAATTTTTGAATAATTATAACTTTCTTTTGTCACTAATTTATCGTAATATCTATTGGTTATATGTCTATGTGGAAAGAAAGAGATTTGTATAATAACCATAAGAAATGCAACCTATACTTCTCTTATTTTTAGCTAAGTATGTTTCTCCATCAACACTATATCATTATAATTACTGCTTAATCGTTAGGTAGTTAGTCTCTTGGTTACCATATTGTCTGCACATATGTAGCACCTTATTATAAGTATAGTCATTTTTCGCTTCTGTTTATTTTGTACATTCGTGTGCCTTGATCGTTAATTTAGGAAACTAATCAACAATCCATTCAATGTTGTTTAAGTATATATATATATGAAATTACTTAATTCCACTATCCAATCATGGTGTGTAAATAGTGTGTATAATCACATCGAATGTGCATTGTGTATGCGTGTTTCATTTTTTCTAAAAGATTTTAATAGTTTTGTAGTTAGCAATTTTTGATTTGCCTTTTTGTTTTGTGTATAGCATTTCTGATTTTCAGCGTCATCATGTTTTTTTTCTTATCATTGCTACTTTTCTCTTCCATATGTTTTAAAACACAAAGCATTTACCACTACTTTGATATTGATAACAATATTAACAATAATTAGAACACCAGTAATAATGATCTTTTTGTACTTCCCTGTTTATGATAGCTGTCTTTCTTAATCAAAAGAAAGTTATCGATGAATTTATTCTACTGTTTTTCTGTCATCCTTGTCTGCTGCACAATGTCTCTTATTGTCTGTGAATGCAAACTCACAAATCATATTACGTTGTATCTTTCTACCAGCTTCTTCACCTCACCCTATCTGTATATAGTTGGTTTTCCCCCTATCCTCTCATAATCTTGTAATTCCTCGTTTTGTTTTGTTATGTTTTGATGAATTATGGAAATGTAAAATGTGAGATAACAGACATTTATTTGTTTTAAACTTTCCCCTTTTTTATTTCATAATTGTCCATGTACTTTCTTCGGTTATGGTTCTTTTTTATTACCACCATAATTTTCACTATTTTTATCGCTTTGATTTGAAATTATTGTATTCCCTTTGTTTTAAATGTAATGAAATGAAATGTGTACAAAAAAAACAATAATATTGATCTTTTCTCTAATCAATCTAAAATTTCAGTTATTTGACAGATTTGTGTTTTATTGTACGATATTTTACCATTGCCACCTTGGATGTTAAAAAAAGTGTTTAATCGATGAATTAATTGATTTTGTTGTCAGGACAATGATCATTTTAATAGTTTATTAACTCACTTGTTAGAGCCTTTTTTTCTTAAATCAGCTGTTCAAATCATGATTGTTTGTGTCTACATAAACATTAAGGTTATGTAGCTCGATAATTATCATATGAGAATAATTGATTTTTATTTGATTAAATTAATGAAATAGAAAGAACACATGGATGATCTAAACATATTTGATTTGATCATTGAATGATTGACAAAGGAAAATAAAAGACAATAAAACAAAAATTTTCATGTTTGTCAAATCAATCGCACTTTAGTAATTATCTATCTATCTATTTTATTACAACCCTGTCAGTGATATTAAGCAAACAGTTATTTGACGATAAAGATTTAACACAACTTTCAAGCGTCATTTCGATCCATCAAACAACATAGGTTTATCAGAATTGATGTTTATTCATTTAGATTTTGGACAAAAGTTTTGGTTATTTACAATACAATGGTCATAGTCGAATGTAATTGATTACATTAGAAATGTGTACAATTGTCCTTAGTAAAAGAAGTAATTAATATCAGAGATTTTAAACAGATGTAACTCTTAAGCGTATCACATTATCATTATCTTGCGACAATTAAGATCACATTAAAAAGAATATAGACAATTTTAGAAGGCGTCGAGTCACGATTGACTATGATCACCACTACAGGAAGACTACGTTCCAGTTACCAGGTTAGATCCCTCCATAGGCCAAATATCAGAAAACAGTTGAAGGTTGTAGTAAGATGTATTTGTTGGCGATCTCGTGGTATCGCAAAAATATCGATGTCGTGCCAAAGTTTACAAGCGGGACTATTGAGCGTATGAGAGTCCGTGCAAGTTTTTTGGTACACTTAAACAAACAGGTACCGTAAAACAATCACTAATACAGTTGGTTATAATAATAATTGTTTTGATTATAACAATCGCGTTCTCCCCATAAAAGTAGGTCACTACACGATGAAGAGTTCATTTAAGAACATATCTAAATTTTTGGATAGATTGTTTGTCTACCGTAAAATCTAATCAGATAAAGGTAAATGCGAAAGTGGAAACTGTCATTATTAAGAAATTTATCTATTTAGTAAGTATTTACAGTTCATTAGTTATAAAATGTTCTGTTAAGGTATATCAGTCTTGATTGTAAAAATAAGGATTGTTGTCCTAATATTGACCCGCATTTGTTGATGTGTATGGAATAGAAGGGTTAGGTCAACTGCGAAGTTCAAATCGTTTGGTTGCATCCAACCTGTCTATTGTAATCCGTGCTTGCACTCAGATGTGAAGATCTTCACGATCCAGCTGACCACCAGAAGAAAGAGATAGGGAGAGAGTAAGCAACCTTATCTAACTTCCATCCTCACTTGGAATGAGTCTGTCAGCTGTCCTCCGTGTACGACTTTGCACTGTGACTGTCTTGCCCCCTTTGTACTTGACCGGTCCCTCTGGTCTACTATATTTCCCTTCTAGTTTCTTCGTTGTGTCATATAGTTGTTTCATATTTCCTTGTCTTGAGACTTTTTCCGCGTTGGTAGCTCTGTTACATATTTCTGCTTGTTGGCTCTAATGCTCTTTTTCACCTGCTCGTTTGCTTCTGTGTACTAAGCTTGTGCCCTGACTTTCTCTGCTCTTGTTCGGCTGTTATTGCTTTCTTCTTATTCTTCCTATCTTTAGTCCTGTCCAGTGTTTCAATGAAGATCCATTCCTAATGATGATGCTTCTTGTGGCCTATATATATATCTTTATTCACAAATCTTTGCATTGTTATCATTATTATTATTGGTTAAACATCATTATTAATCTCCCCAATACATGATTTATTTACTTCTCAATCATCCCACCTTATTCTATCTTACCAATAATTTTTTACACAATATAGTCCTCCACTACACATTTGATCGAAGTGTTATTGCACTATTATTTCTCTCATCTTATCTGACCCATATTTATTCTGATCATGGATCTTAAATTTTCACTTGACATATAAGCTGATTCAAATTATTATCAGAAAGGGCTTTTTTGGAGATTGTAGTAATTTAATAGTTAAGTTTATGAGTTAATTAAAGCTAGACCACCATGAAGAACCTGAGTCATATCAACATAAACAATTTTATTTTTTTCTATTTTGCTTGGCAATCCTAAATTCACACGATTTTACGTTAAACGATGTATTTTACTCTTAACCTGGTCATTTTTCGGATTAATAATTTGGATATATAATTGCAGAACCTGAAGAGAATTTATGGAATAGAATATTCTTCGTTCAAATATTAGTCTTTTAATACAAAATTATCCGTGCTGAGAGTTATTAATGTAATCAAACATGACATCGAATAAAGCAATTAATTTGGTACTATTATTAGTGTAACTTAAATCCGACTACTTCGAGTTTTCTCATTATTATAAATCATTGGAACCATCTTTATCGAATATTCATTATCACTTCATTTTCCTTCTCGTTAAGATTATTCTCATGTCTTTTATAAACATACAGTAATCATGTGATTGATTTCAGTGAGATTTTACTGGGTACAGTTAATTGTTTACTGTATTGACAGTGCTATCAACTATAGGGAAACTTATGCTCATATTTTTTCTTCAGTCACTTAGATTCCATTGACAAAATCGATAGTTGATCAAATTCGATATCTTTCAAAAACTTAAGTAAACTTCAATACTACTGTAGTGTAAACATCAACACTAAGATTCAGGTACATGAAGTTGACAAATCCCGAATTAGATGAAACAAGCATCCTAATGTCCATTAGTTTACACAGCTTAATTCTATCATAGTTTGGTCTTGTACATTCAAACTAAGTATTTGAAAATTGTCTAGTTCATACTGTTTAGTGCTTAAATTGGTGGCTTAGTATATCTGTTATACATCTTTCAAGTATGAATACGATTTAGTACAAACAAAATCTGTCATATCTTTTAAATGGAAACTACAGTGCTTATTTATTACAAATATATGTAGTTTTTCATCAAGTAGAAAAAGTTTTGTCAAAAATCTGCTATCACAGATCTGATCATTGTTTGTTAAAGTGTTGCTACATATATCGACTATCAAAAATTTATGCATAAACTATCGATTTAAAAAATTTTAAATTTGTTAAGGTTTACCTTATAAAATTTTCAATGCTCTACATACGTACAGGCTAGGTGTCATCATGTTTTGAATTTCGGACAAAATCCTAGGACTAATTCTTTTAGGTTTAATACTTTATGTGCCATCAGTAGTAATTCTTCATTGTTTAGTTTAGCGGTAAAAGTATATTGTTTTGAAAATGTTCGAATTCTGATCAGTCTACTGTAAGTTTGTCGGCCTGATAAATATCATCAACTTTGGCAGACCGGATGAACCTAAATAGATACGATACTAATTCGAAATTACATGTTGTGTGGGAAATGTAAGTGTAGTGATACTATTATGGTTAATTGAATTCTCACAATAAACGTTCTTCAGGTTCTACAATTATGTATTCAAATTAGTAATTCAGAACGTAGTCAGGTTTGATGATATGGTGACGTAATTCGATCAATGAACATATCACCTATTTCTTTGTATTTTTAAAGTTTAAACTTATCCAATTCACATATATTATGATTGTTATTATCGTCATCATTAGCATCATAAAGCTTAAAAACATTTTCAGAAATTTATTCAGTATCCAGTCCATCCTATTAATTCGTACCTAATTCATATTATTCTATATATTACGTGATTCCTGATTTGGAATTACATTATTATCTCTCTCATCCCATGTTAACCATATTTATTCCGATCATTATTCTCACAGTTTGATTTAACGTTTAAACTTATAAGTCGACGCATCAGAATAATCATCTCAACATTAACGTTTCTATTTTCTTTTATATTGAAAACAATCCTAAATCCATATGCTATAACTTTAAATAATGTATGTTACCTTATACTTCTCCACTTTTTGGATTACTAATTTGGATATATAATTATAGAATCTGGAAAGATTTTATTGAATGGAATATTCTTCATTCATATATCTGTGTTTTAATATGATGGGAATTTTTCGGCGGTTAATTCAAACATTTTCCTTATGGAGTTCACCTCACCGCACGTATCTTTCACTAGATTGGCCCAATAAATCATTCTAATGTAGTGAACAGAACACGGGTGGGGACAATCGAATTGCATTTAGCACAAAATTACAGAATTACTTGTTAAAATAGAAAAACCATACTATAATACTTAATTTGCAAAATGTTCAATAATTGTCTCGTTTTTCGTTATTCTTGCATTTCTTTACTAATTGCTTTCTATTCCTGACCTTCCTTTCTTGATCATCCCCATCTTCTGCTGCCAGACATTACATTCCTTACTCGCGTCATATACTACTTATATCAATATAAGTAGCACGCACCACACTCGTCCCCACTTTAAAGCAGTCGTTGTTGTGGTGGTTCATGCTCGCCGTGCCACATTCTTCGTTTCTGCAGTCTGTGCTACGCTCCCCGTCAAAATTTCGAGTCTGTGGCCTCGATGACCTCCATAGCTCCGTCGACCTGCCGGGGCAACAACATCCAACATCCACCCGGCACCTGGGACGCTTAACACACTAATACTTATGATTTAGATACACTTATATTCGATTTAAGCATTAAATTTTACAACGAAGTTTTAGTTTGTTTTTTCTAGCATAACTAGTTAGGTTGAGAATTAGACAAGCTGAAATTATAACTAAATCAAACTGGAAGATCATCAAAACCCATTACATAAAAGACATGTACCTCATGGCCAAATACATAAATCTAGTTGGTTAAGCGCCTGGCGCGAGACTGTTAGGTCCTGGGTTTGAATCTCGCGAGGTGCAGGGGTGCGCTTTGCTGAGGAGTTCCATACTAGGACGAAACGGCCGTCCAGTGCTTCCAGGTTTTCCATGGTGATCTAGCTTCAAATGACTTAAGATTTCAATCTGTGACATAAATCTACACTTGGTGAATAAATTACTGTTTATCTCCAGAAAGTGAGTTTTCAATAAATTATATATATATATATATATATATATATATATATATATATATATATATATATATATATATATAATTTAAAACAAATTAGCTATCAAATGAACATTTTATAGTGAATAAATAATCTAATTAAATAAAGTCACTTATTTTGTTTGAAAATCTAAACTTTGAATATTTAAAGTGTGTCTATACGTCGCCATATGTTTCGATAAACATTTATACAACAACTTTGCAATAGACAGTATTCGGATTTCATGTATATTTATTTTCTCGAACGTTCA